ACGTCCACGGTGTCTCCTGAGCTATGGATGTGAGATCACCCTAAAAATCCCACAGAAATCTGTAGTGGCTGCTCCCGAGCTTGCAACCCAATGGAAATTGTTGCCAGAAATAGAGTGAGAGGCGGGGAGTACTTTGGAAACAGATGAGAGCAATATCGGAGCTTCAAGCTTCTCAGAATTTGTTTTCTTTTCCTCTGAAAAGGCCTAGATTACAGAAGTGAGGAGGGGAGGGGGAGGACTTCAGCAGAAAGGAGCAGAACACAGCAGCCAAGGGACATGGGCGAACCTGGCCAGAGCCCGCTGTTTGCACTTCCAGCACCCAGGGCACGGGGGTCTCCAGGAGATTCCTGTGAGGTCACGGAAGGGTGGGAAGGAAAAGCCGAAGGTGTGGGGGTTTCAGAGCTGGACCCCTGAGTGTTCCACACTGAGAATGGAGCCAAATCGTTAGGATTCTGTGTATGGGAGGAGGGGTGGGCGGGAAAGATGTTTTCTTATAGCCTAGCTGCAGCTATGAATACTATGTTTTTAAAGCTATTTAAGAGAGATGGGAAAGAAGGAACAGTGAGTACAGAGCTGCTAATGAGGTGGTAAAGCCTCCTGGCGAGCAGGCAGTCGTTCCACGGGGGCTCCAGAAGGGGGAGCGGTGGACGCTCAGCTGATGTCCCCGCGTTGGAAGGACGGGGGCTCTTGCTTGGCTCCTAACCTGGAAAAGCAGCGTCTGCAGCCCTGTCGTTCTGCCGAGAGGGAGGGAGACAGAGGGGGAGACACAGAGGCTGACCCTGTTGATTTTGCTCCTTTAAATACCCAACCTTTATCCTCATCCCCTACATTCTTCAAGACTTCCCAGCATTGTGGTGTCTACACAGCAGGAAGCATTTCTCTTTTTTTGTTTTTGTTTTGTTTTCTTGTTTTTTGTTTTTTTGAGACTGAATCTCATCTGTTGCCCAGGGTAGAGTGCAGTGGCATCATCACAGTTTACCGCAACTTCAAACTCCTGGGCTCAAGCCATCTTCCTGCCTCAGCCTCCCGAGTAGCTGGGACTACAGGCACGCACCACCACGACCGGCTGATTTTTTCTATTTTTGGTGGAGACGGGGGTCTCGCTTTTGGTCAGGCTGATCTCGAACTCCTGACCTCAAGGGGTATTCCCGCCTCGCCTTCCCAAAGTGCTAGGATTACAGGTGTGTGTGAGCCACCACACCCGACCAGCAAGAAGCATTTCTGACAGCCGTGGAGACTGGGTCAGCTAAATAAGACTCTTTAAACCTAAAGAGACTAATACGCTGCAAGGGACAACTTCAGATTTCCCTCTTTGCTGCCTGGTGGAGTGACAGTTCATACACTGTGGATGCCAAAAGCCCTGATAAGTGGAAGCTGCTAGATTCCGGGCTCAGATCTGCAGAATGGCATCTGGCTAAGGAGATCCCCCTATGCTAATATTTCATCCTCCTCCCAGCAGTCTCTGCCAGTCCGGGCCCGTTTGCCTCTGCCTTGGTAGACTGTGCCCTCAAAGTCAAGCATCAGCCTGCCATCGCCGGAGAGCACCCCTGGTCAGTGCCTGCACCCCAAACAGCACGGTCTCTCTGGGGGGCCCTGCTAAAAGGAGCAAATCCACAAAGGGTCCTGCAGACACAAGCACAAGCCTGCAGATAGATGTATTAAACATTCAGCTGAATCAAACGTTAAGGAATTCTTAACATTTCTCACACGCATTTTTAAAATAATAACAGCCACCAATTAGTATATAGCCAGGTTGCAAATTTACACAGTATAATAAAACACACAAAGAAAATACAGCTTCTTTATTATTTATAAATATTTCTCATGAACCCCTACCCCATTAGGCAGCAAAAAGGGACACGGGGAACTTTGTATTTGAACTTGTCCGCTATAGCGTACCGATCTCTTCAGGGTTCAGGAGTCTCATTTAGTTGACCCTGTCTCTCTCAGGAAAACACAGACTGGAGGTGACCTTTCTTCCTCTTGCTCTATTTCAAGGTGATGTTTTATGTCGTAAAGTATTTACTTGATCTCATGGTATGGGACAAGGGGGCCTTAGACTCAGGAGGGACCTTGGATCCCGTAGTTCTCTGGATCTCACCAGAAGCTGCTTCGCGACCTCTGAGGTGTGGCTGGCCCCATCTGGCTGATGGGGGTCGTGCTGACATACTCCACAAAAGGCCCAAGCCTGGCCGTTGGCTTCTACCTGAGAAGCCCTGGTCGTAACCGTCTCTTCCTCCCAAGTCCGGTTGGCTGGCTTTGTTGCAGCTCTGTACACCCTCACAGGGCCGTGAGCAATAGCGAGCTGCTGAACGTTTAATGACAGGTCTTAAGGCAGAGGGGAGGTGGAGTGGGGAAGAAGCCCTGGCTATAGCAAGTGCCACTTTCTGTGGTGTAAACACTCCCACCAAGTCAGTTTTGAACTCCCAACATGATGCCACTAAACGCAGGACTGGGAAGAGGTGTGCACAGTGGACTCTCATGAGCTAGCGCAAGCTGGCTTCAGCCCCCACAGGCCCTGGGGGAACATCTGGAGTCCTTGCAGCTCTTGTGACACTGTCTCACACTCACCTTCTCCCACTAGGTCTCCCGTAATTACTCCCTGCCCTGCTAGATATGGCTGCAGGCAGAGCCCCTCCTAGGCCTACACTAGCAGGGTCCTGGGAAGCCCACCCATCCATGTCACCAGTCCCCCCGCTTCCTGGATGGGTGCTCTGCTCCAAGAGGGCAAAAGCAAAGACGTGTGCTTCTGACAACTACACCATCTGTCTCCTTCTCCTCCCACGGTCCACTTGGACCCAAAGTACCCATCTTTCCATCCCTCGTCCCCTCCGCCAAGGGCCTTGCGTGTGTCACATTCTTCTTATTCCCAGGTCTCCAAGCCTCATAGCTAAGAGGCAGAAGAGGTTTCCCTCTATCCCATGGAAACTATTTTATGATCTGAGTCCTCCAGATGGGGATTACAAGGAATTAAACACATCAATAAATGTCTCTGAAATATTATCTCCATTACAACTGTTTGTTACGTGTGGGGCCATGTCTCTATGTGCACTATTTCATTTAACCCTCACCGTGTCATCAGTTTTGTCCTCACTTTACAGATGAGGAAACAGACTCAAAGAGGTTAGTAACTTGCCTAAAACAATTTAACTAGGAACTAGCAGAGGTAGGGCTTGAACACAGGTGACCCCCAAAACTATGCTCTTCACCTAATGCTAAATGGTGGAGGCACAAACTTTCTTTTAAGGCTATTAGAAGATCCCATGGATTCTATAGGTGCTTTTTTTTTTTTTTTAAGTGGGGAGAGAAAGGCATTGCTTTAGAGGGAAAGCCATTAGACATGTTTTCCTACTTCTCTGGAAGGTCCAAGAAGTGTGGGGGAGAGGGTGTTGGCAGAAATGGCGTCTTACCCGTTGCTCCCAGACACCGGGTAGCCCTGTCATGTGGTGGCTGTGGGGGGTGGGGCTAGGGCAGAGATTCCCTCCAACCCACCTCACCCCACCCCAAGAACATGTTCCTCTCTAGTATTCATGTCCTCAGTAAGGGCACCCACATCCCCAAATGCTCATGCCAGAAATACGGGAGTCATTCTAGCCTCCTTCTGCCCCACCACACAACATATAACCTGGTACCATAAATAACTGGACCACAGAATACATCCTGGGCCCACCATTCTCTCCTTCGCTCCTGCCATGGTTCAAACCACTGTCATCTCTCTCCTGGACTTCTGTCCCCTGTCTATGTCCTGCTGCCACTCTGGCCCCGCCACACCCTTCTCTACAGATCAGCCAGAGTGAGCTCCTTAAAACATCAATGGTGTGATTTAACTCCCCTCCTAAAAATCCTTCATGTCCTCCTGTCTCACTTAGAAAACCCAACATCATCAACAGAGTCTACAAAGCCTTGTGTGGTCTGCCGCCCACCTGCCTCTCCCCGCCCACTGACCACTCCTGGCCATGCTGAGTTCACTCTGCTCCAGCCACACCGTCCCTGCGGGGTCTGGAGCACAGCCCGCTCTTTCCTCCCTTCGAGCTTTGGTATTTTATGCCTTCTGCCAAGAAGCTCCTCCGTGCACTCTTTGCTAGGTTGGCTCCTTCACAAATTTCTGGTCTCAGCTTAAACAGACCTGCTCAAGAGGCCTTCCTTGGCCTTTACCTAAAGAAAACCCTCCCTGTTCAACTCTTTGACAAGCCGAGGTTTTGTTCTGTCCTGTGACTGCACACATGTGACTTTACTTGCCCACTGCCTGTCTCCCAGACTGGCAGTGCCATTACCCATGTCGCTCATCAGTGCACACGCAGCTCCTGGCACATCGCAGGTGCAGAATAAATAGCTGTTGACTGTTGAACGAACGTCGTAACTCTAGAGCTATCAAGTTAGGGCATGATTCAATTTAGATTTTAGTGAATAACTATTTGCCCGGCACTGTGCTAAATGTCGTGGGAGTTACAAAGAAAACACAACACTCATTTGTTTAACACTCATCCATTTAACCCACAACAGGTGGGAGAGAGGTAGGAGTGAGAACAATGGGGGGAGGTGGCAGCGTTGTGACAGTACAGAAGAAGCCTGGCTGACTCCACAGTCAAAATAAACACCTTGGCCATCCTTTGGGTGACTTAAGAAATGCCTGGGCTCAGCTCACATCCCCGCAAGGTAGATATTCCCATTTTAACGTACACACGTGCTTGGTATCGCCCTGCATGTGAGCATGCAGTCGACGTTCGATACATCTATCGCAGTAATCTTAAAAAGCAAGTGAGAAGATAGTCTTATTTTTGCCAAGTATCCAGGTTTTGTTCCTAATCCTTCCTTAGGTCATCACACAAAGAATGTGAGTATTTCAGATCCCTTTGCAACCTGTTTTCATCTTGTCTGAGCCATCAGCCGACCAGACCTTTTCTTCCCTCCCTCCCACAAAGCATCCCCGGAAGCTTCAACTCTGGAGGCGATGGGTCGAAAGGAAGAAGATGACTGTAGTTCCTGGAAGAAACAGACCACCAACATCCGGAAAACCTTCATCTTCATGGAAGTGCTGGGATCGTAAGTCCTGGGGCTGGGAGCCCGGCTGGGCTGGGCTGGGCTGGGCTGCCTGCTATGGGGGGCTGCGAGAATTGTTCTCGGCTAACAGAGACTGGGGAACAGGACTGAGGCTGCTGTGACTGAATCTCATGGCTCTCAGGGACATAGGCGGAATTTTACAGACCGGGGCTGGAGGGGAGTGGGTGGAGTGGGTGGCTGGCAGGTGTCTCGGGGCACTACCGAGGGTGATGTAATACACTGGAGCTCCCAAGGAATACCAGCCCCTTTCGCCCCAGGTTTTGCCTCCTTCCAGCCTACCCCCGTGACCCCCACCTACTTCCAGATCCGTGACAGCTTGTGGGTTCTTGCCCGGGTCACACGAGAGAAGAGTTGGGGAAGACTTCGGAGACTCAGTGACCCCAGAACTTTCCAGGGCCTCCTCCCCCCGCTTCTTCATTTCCCTAGCAGTGAAAAGACCAACCCCATCTTTTGCTACAGACAGAAGAGAAGGGGCTTCTGAGGCCCAGATAGCCAGTGGGTTACACACACCAGAATCGGCTGCCCCCACCGCCATCCTCTCTCCTCCGTATTTAAGCGCTTCAGCTGAGCTGTCATTCAGACTCCCGCCAGCCTGCAGGGCGTCTGTTCCTGCCCCCTGACAATGACTACACGGGCAGCTTGTCTGGAGCTGACTGTCTGCATAGTCCTGCCTCTCCCCTGGCGGGGGGGTGCAGTCTCTGACGCAGGCTGGCAGCAGCTCCGGGCCACCAGCCCCCGCCACCTCAGAACCCCAGCTGATCGGCTAATTGGGCCTGGGCAGCAAGGAGCAGTGAGTGGGCTGTCCACCGAGGCCAGCGTTCTCTTTAGCCAGTTCTGCTCCACTCTGCCCTGGCTGGGAGGCAGTGACCCCAGGCAATGCCAGCTGCCCACACTCTCACTGTAGACAGACAGGAGACCTCTGGGCCCTCCTGGCACAGCCAGGTTGCTGGGCTCTGCACATGCGAGAGGATCCCTGCTGGTCATCAGAGTGACAGCCTTCCATCAAGGGCCTTTGCCAAGATGGGGGTGGCTAGAGGGAGAGTTTTGGCAGGAGAGACAAGTCTCTTGGGTGAATCAGAAATGACTTGCTAAGTATCCCAAAAATCCCAAGAAGACGATAAAAGGAAACCCAGGTTGACAAGAGCTTATTCCCCGTCTGCTAGACTTGTACTGTAGGACTCAGAAGATAGACACACCTGCCCCCTGGGAGCCCAGTGAATTCTACCACAGCCGCAGCTAAACCTAGAGGAACAGCAGAGTCATCTGGAGAGCTTTGTCCCTCCAACTTTTAATGGTGAAAAATGTTTAAAATAAGGAAAAGGTGAAATATTAATATTAATAGTACAATGAGCACCAATATACCCACTGCCTAAATTCAACAATTGCTAGCATTTCGCTATATAGTATTTGTTTTACATGCACACACACACAAAGTTCATTGACCTATTTGTAAATAAATGGCAAACATCATGACACATTACCTCTGAACCCTCTGTCTATATCTCCCAAGAATAAAGGCATTTTCTTATATATCCATAATATTGTCACATTCAAGAAAATGAATAATAATTCCTTAATATCATTTTAGCCTAGGTAATTTTTGGAAAATGGACTCCTGGTCCCAGACCTACTAAACTGGAATTTTGGGAGATAGGACCCAGCAGCCAGGAATCTGTATTTTAAGTGTGTCTGGTGGTTTTAGTGTATCAGCTCAGCACTGATTTGGGGGGAGCAGGAGGACAAGACAGGGGACAGACCACAGCTGTTGCAGAAGTCAGGGCTGAGCAAAAGCTAAAGAGAAGGCACCCTGTGGTGCTCGGGAAGGAGACAGGTGTCCGCAGGCTGCAGGTCCCACAGAGTTTCCAAAGTGAGGTGCAACGGAGACAGAAGCAGCTGGGAAGAGCGGACTGTGCTGAATCAGGATTCACCAGCGTCCCCTGACAAAGGCCTCTTCTCTCTGGGTCTCAGCTCCTCTGGAATGAGTGCCAGGGAGAACAGGCTTTTGTTAAACCTGCCCAGACGGCACCCACCGTTCCAGGGCCCCAGGGCAGCTGTAGGGAAACCGTGCACTGATAGTCCAAGTCCCAGGCCTCCTTGTTTCACTGCCCAGAAAGAGATGTTTCTCCGTGGTACCCTCCCACCTCCTCCACCACGCAGGCTCCCAGCAAGAATGGAGAGCCCTTCAGAGCAGGAAATGCAGCCAAGCTCTATTGCAGCGAGTACTCCTGGCTCTGAGGGCTCCGCCGGTCTTGCTTTCTGACCTGTGCAACCTTGGTTGCTCAAAACTACCTCCCTGCTCCCCGCCCTGGGAGATGCTATAATTAAGCCCTCTGGTGGCCTTCCCCTGCCCCCATCACACACACTGCAACACACACACAGTATATGACCAAAGCTGGTGAGGCAGAAGAACAATAACAGCATTTTAAATTGCCATACCATTGCACAGTTCTATATATACAGTGCAGTGTGCGTGGTACCCTCAGGGGGCAAACTGAAGGCGATAATTTGATTCCATTCCACAAGAGGACCTAGAGTGAGTGTCAGCTTTGAAATCAGGGGCCCATCCACGTGTGGTTCCAAAGGTATGGGTAAAAGGAAGAACTCTGAAGGTGGATCTTAGTATGTCACAGCTGCAAAAAGACCTGGCACCCAGCCACATTCCTCTCCCATAATCCCTCACATCACACTTCACACACAGTGCTGGCTGCCTCGTCCCTATCTGCTGTTCCACGCTTCCATGCTCTGCCCATGCTTCTTCCACACCCCCACCTGAAACGTCATTTCCAACTCTTTTTTTTTACTGGGCTAACTCATTCATCCCTTAAAACTGAGTTCAGGGTGTTCTTAAGTCACGGGGCTGTGTATTAGTGCTCCTCTGCTATCCCAAGTGGTCACTTTGTAAAAATGAGAGAAAAGGTGCCCTTTTTTCTAGCCTGCTGTCTGCTGGGGAGGGGGAGGAGGATGTAATAATTATCATATGAACATGTACAATGGCTCCAAGGTAAATGGCATCTGCTGGAGTTGTGCAGTGCACAACCTGCCCCACCGTAGCAGAGGCCCTGTCTTAAATGTCCATTTTTTGTGGTCTCATAATATGTCATTCTTATCTGTATGTGTCTGTCTCACACGCTGGATTCCAGGCTAGACCAAGACTAATCTCAGTGCCTGACACAGAAATCCCATTAGTTCCACAAGCATTCATTGAATGCCTGGTAGCATTTTTCAAAGCAAATGTTAATTGCTCACTTGTCTGAGTTCCTTAATAGTCTGTAGGCTCCTCAAGAACAGAAATACTTACCTTTTTATTTCCAGTGTCTAAGACTCAGTAGTGCTCAATAAATCTTGGCTGAAGGGACGAGTAAATGAACAGATAAACAGAGCAAGCTCGGACGGCTCTGATGGGCTCAGTTCCTGGAGCAGCTGGGGAAACAGGAAACTCAGACACAGGAAACACCAGTATTTTCTAATGCAGATTTTTAAAGTCCTTTCAAAAGCTTGACTGCTATCGGGCTTTTATTCTAGAATACCCAGATGGCAGGGGAGAGGATGGCTCAGCTGTTTCCGCATTTAGATTCCATCTCCTCTTGTACTACTAGGTGTTCTCTGTAATGGTGTTCAAATAATAATGATGATAATGTTATAATAATAGTATCTAACACATAGGGTTGTAATAGATGTCAGAAACACTTTTGAGCACGTTACATATGTTAACTCATTTAATCTTCTAAACAACATTATGAATCAGACTATCGATACTCTCACTTTTCAGATGAGGAAACTGGGTATATGGACGTTACGTGACTTGTCGCCCCAAAAGCTGAGATTCTAACATGGACGATCAGGCTTCAGCACCCACCCCCAGCTTAACTGCTGTTCTGATGGCCTGGTCTCCAGGGCCCCCATTTCAAACCAAGAAGCCTGTAATTTGGGTCCTTCCCTGTGCTCCCATTGGGTTCCATTTGCTGTGTCTTCAGAGCCTGCCTCAGAGGCCCTGGGCTCTGTCTTTGCAGATCCTACTGAATGAATGAGAGGCTGCTCAGCTCCCTTGTCCTCTGATAGTTGGTCCAGCGTGATTATTAATATCACCATCCAAAACTGATACAGGAGTCTTTTCTCTCTCACTGTGTCTGAGCCCTGTCCCCGGCACTACCTCGGAGCGACCACTGCAGCATGCCACACTGTGCCATGTCGGAAGTGACGTGGATTGACTCTGCAGTGGCCTCTCTTTAATGGGCTTGCCAAGTGGAGCAATCTCTCCACAGCCGAACCAGAGTCTCTGGGAGCTGTTCCCAAATTACAGAACCAGGGAAGAGCAACTGCATCGTCCCTAAGTCTGTGGTGGGGGAGAGAGCGCACCGGCGTGTCAGACAGTCCGTGCCATCGACAGTGCTCAGCAGGGCCCACGTGACAATGGAAACTGATTGTCAGCCACACCTTCCTGCATCTGCCCTTTCACTGTGCCTCCAGCCAGCCAGCACTCAGTTTTATCTCTTCGTGTCTTCTCAGAGGAGCTTTTTCAGAAGTTTTCCTGGTGAAGCAAAGGATGACTGGCAAGCTCTTTGCCCTGAAGTGCATCAAGAAGTCACCTGCCTTCCGTGACAGCAGCCTGGAGAATGAGATCGCGGTGCTGAAAAAGTGAGTCCACCTAGGGCTGGTCGGGTGCAATGTGGGATCACATTTCCTTCACAAATTACCATCGAGAAGGACTGGGGCCAGATTTCCACCCCCAAAGGCACTGCTCCCTTTGATTGAGTTGATGGGTCAGTTTGATCCACCAGCTAAGTTTAGGCAGACAGATGTCCTGGCCGGGTTTTTCTGAGGAGGGTGGGTGTTGGCAGCAAATTGACCAGTGAACCCACGGAAACTGGCAGCAAAGCTGGTTTGTGCACACAGGCCAGAGCATAATTAGCTCAAAGGAACAAAAATCAATTAAAGGCCAACATCAGAAAGAATCGATAATTAAGAAGGCAGCGTAAGATTTGGAAATTAGCCTCAATTTGTACCAAAGCAAACGTAGGGTCAGCTCCCAAACTGTCATGATGAAGGCTATGCTAACAGCTCATAAGTGGTTACAGCAAGACTCTCTCGACAAATCCTTGTGAACCCCTGTGGTGTACCAAAAGCGTGCTAGGCACACGATCACAGGAGAAGGACCACAAGGATGAGGCAGACAAAATTCCTCACCCTCAGGAGCTCACATTTTCTGGGTGGAGACAGGGGTGCCCTTAACAAACTCTAATCCCATCAGATGTGAGTCATAGCAGCAGAAGGCGGAGTTTGGAGGAGATAGGGATTCATTTTGCCTACGTGTGTGTTTTTATGAGCATAGGTTATTGAGCACGTTTTCCAAGAGGAGAGACCTCGGTGGATGAGTAGAATTTTGTGGGGCAAGAAGGGCAGAGCAGAAAGGGGATTCAGGCCAAGAGCAGCATAAATTTTAATGTAGAATCATGGAAGTGCAAGGCCATTATGGAAGAGTGAGTCCTGGAAGCCCCTGAACTTAGAGAGAGTAGTGTCAAGGGACAGGAGGTGAAACTCACATGGTGAAATGGGACCTGATTATAAAGGATCTTAGATGCCATGATAAAGAATATTGGCTTTACTCTGTGGGCAAAGAGATGCCATCAAAGGATTTTAAGTAAGGAGTCACATGGGTCAGAGTAGCATTTGGGAGCCATCCCTCTCAAGCGTGTTGGGGGATGGATCAGAGGATGCCAGCCTAGAGAATGGGAGACCAATCATAGGACTTTCACAATAATCTGGGCATGAGATGAGAATACAAGCAAAGGTGGTGGCAAGACCATGTGTGGGCAAAAAGACTAGAAGCAAGAGATGTTTCAGTGAGAGAAGAGTTTGGGTTTGGGGTTGACTGGTAAAAGGGTAGAAGACAAAAAGCACTAAAATGACCCTGAGATTGAGCAATTAAGTGGACAGCAATGTTATTGCTTGAAATAGAGAACAAAAATCATGTGCGGGCTTGGAGGAAATAGAAGGAAATTGGTTGGAACATATTGAGTATAGGTATCCATCTGTCTCTACATGGAGGTGTCTGGTAAGATGCTGAAGACATAGGTTTGGGCTCCAGGGAGAGTAGGGCAGAGAGAGACTGTCAACTAACTCATTAAGAGCAAGAACCATGTGGTCTTTCTTATGATTGTGTCCTGTAAACAGCAAAGGTGTTCAATAAATCTTTGTTCAGTGAATGAATAATTGATAAACCAATGTTGGCATCGTCAGTGTATGAGTATAGTTGAATCATTAAGCAACCACTATAGCAGGTCTGTACTTTTTAAAATATCTTAAAGAAGATAGCTACTGTTGTTATGTGGTCACTCTTCCCCAGGCATTGTGGATTATCTCCTTTAATCCTGACATAACCCTGTGAGAGACATAAACTTTTCAGTCAAGGAAAGTAAGGCTCAGAAAATTTGAATAAGCCATCTGAAGTTACCTAATTAGTAAGCACCTGAGCCAGATCTGAACCTGGGGCCAACAGACTCCGAGTCTAAGTTCTTGACCCGTGTGCTGTACAGCCACGAGTAAACTTCGTGAGAACATCCTCCTCTCCAGGCGTGCACAAGATTGCTGCCTGCAAGCCAAGCCGCTCAGCTAATATGATTATTCTGCTTCCTTCAGTCTCTGAGCAATCCCGGAGAAGGGTGATCTAGGGCCAGCTTTCTCCACCATGATGCTATTGACATCTTGGACCAGACCATTATCTGTTGTGTTGGGGGCTGTCCTGTGCATGATTGGCTGTTTAGCAGTGTTTTTGCCTCAACCCACTAGATGCCAGTGGCACCTCCACCTGCCCCACTTGTGACAACAAAATTGCCTCTAGCTATTGCCGAATGTTTCCTGAGTGGCAAAATCGTCCCTGGTTGAGAATCATCAATCTAAGGCTTCCCATAGAACTGACCCCAAAAATAAGCATCTCCCTTACTTCTCACAATGTCCTCAAACAATAATTTTTCAACACTTCCTCCATGGTTACTCAAGAGGAGGGAGGCTCAGCTCACCTAACTCCCAACTGCTGTATACAGGTGAGCATCCTTAACCTGAAAATCAGAAATTCAGAATGCTCCAAATCTGAAACTTTTTTGGCACTGATGTGACACCACAAGTGGAGAATTCCACATCTGACCTCATGTGACAGGTCACAGTGAAAACATAGTCAAAAATTTGTTTCATATACCAAATTATTAAAAATATTGTATAAAATTACCTTCAGCCTATGTGTATAAAGTATATGAAACATAAATGGATTTCATGCTTAGACTCAGGTCTCAAGCCCAAGATATCTCATTATGTATATGCAAATATTCCAAAATCCAAAAACATCCTAAATCTGAAACACTTCTGGTCCCAAGTATTTCTGGATACTCAACCTGTACTTTCTCCATGTGAGGTTTCTGAAGGAGATCGTCATACTCATTTTATTGAATAACTTACTATTGGGTAATCCCTTAGCCTTCCTCAGTTCTTTTGGTTATCTCTTTTGGTAAAGTTTGAAGAGATTTTTGGAGTAACAAGGAGTTGTTTGTTCCCTGAAGGAAGGATGATCAATTATTCATTCAATGAATATGGATTGAACACCACCCTGGGACTCTTTTCTCTGGATGACTTTGTGACAGCCTCCGTGTTATGAAGGCTTCACGAGGACCCGGTCTTCTGAAACATGGCCTTCAAAGCCTCCAACAGAAACTTCTGGGCTGGGTCTCCACTCTTTGTCCGGACAACCCGAACCACACCCCTTTCACCGTACTCTTACTTTTTCCCAGGATCAAGCATGAAAACATTGTGACCCTGGAGGACATCTATGAGAGCACTACTCACTACTACCTGGTCATGCAGCTGTAAGTGAAAGGTGACAAAGGTGACCCATGTCATCCACGGAGGTCTGGTGGGACCTGGGGGGCCTAGAGGAGATTGGTCAGGGGTGAGGGAAGGGTAGGGATTCAAAGACAAAATCAAGAATCAGTTCAAGAGGCTCTGAAATACTAAGAGTCCTTTTAGGCTCAGTAAACCTCTGGGAGTGGGGATGTTCTGTGTGGGCCGAGGGGTAAAGCTAGAGCTGATTATTGAGTCGGTCTGTACCTTACTAGTGTTAGAATATGTCCTACCAGTCAGCAGATAGCTGCGACCCCAACCCTTCCATGCTCCTCTGCTGCCCCACCTCTCTCCTGGAACTTTCTGGACCTTCTCACAACCCAACAACCAAAGGGGCAATGCCGGGCATGGCAGAGAACCACCAGGACCCTTTTCTGGCTCTATGGCTTGAGTCCATTCTGACCAGTCCAGGTCCATCAAACTGGATAGTAAACGTTTTAACATCAATGCAAGGCAAAATTACTGTAGGAGTGGAAGCCACAGGTAGATAGATTTCAATATAAAGAAAGACTTTTTCAAAGGAGAGAAATCCAAAGTTAAAAACAGGCTGTGATAGTGTGTGTCCATCTGTAGGACAGAAATGTGCCTTCCTTAGCAAGGTCTCTGGTTGTTATCATATCCAAATAAGAGTTCTGCCTGACAGTGACTGCCGTAGAAGTTAGTCGGTGCTCCTGAGGGCTCAGCCTTGAGCTCAAAGACACTTCCATAAAGTAGACACACACACACACACACACACACACACACACACACACACACACCCCACTCTGCAATCTCAGCATGGCAGAACACAACGTGGTTTTTTGCTGATGAGCTGTTTCATCAGAAACTTTAATGAGCTAACTCAGGCCTAAGCAGCTGATTAATTCCTGGGCTCACCTGAGTTCCAGGGACAAGCAGTAGCAGGCAGTCAAGGGAGTAGGTGGGAAGGGCCTAGAGCAGCACTAATAAGTACGGGGACCAGATGACACCTTACTGAGGCCAGTTCAACAGGATTAGCACATGGTCATTCAAAGGCTAAGGGGAGCAAGGAGGTGGGCAGGTTGAGATGTCCCTGAGGAGCCACCAAACCTCCAGGACTCAGGCTGCTCGGGGTCAGGCATTCGTAGCTATGTACAAAGAGCATCTTTTCTGTGAACCTCCAGCTCCTACAGCAGAGCCCAAAGCCCCAGGCAGAAGCCTAGAGCAGAGTGATGTGCATTCTGACTGAAGAAAGTGTATCCCCTCGTCGCTACATGGTGCTGTCAGGCACACATGGCCACATCTAATATCACAGGACAGTGGGAGGGGGGCTAGGATAGTGAGAGGGTTGCAGCCGCTGGCTCAAGGTTGAAATAGTCTGGGGAGGTTTATCCTGGAGAAGAGAAGCCCTCGGGATAGCATCGCACTGTCTTGCATACTCGAAAAGATTCACGTGAAAGGATGTTATTCTGTGCACTCCCAGTGGGAGGAACTGGCTTCTGCTGGTAGAAACTATAGGGCGTCAGGTTTCAACATAATATGCAGAAATATTAAGGAGATACCAAAAGACACAACACAACACTCTGTCCTAGGAGGCAGTGAGTTCTCTGACTAGTCTTCTAGTACTGACTAGAAAACTTCTAGGCAAAAAGAGTGTAGATGGTACTCAAGAAATGGGGGTCGGACTTGATCTTTAAGCTTTCCTGAGTCCTGAGATACCAAACCAAGTGAGTCTCAAAATATCCCTACAGCCCTACCCATAATTCCAGCTTTAGGTAGCCCAATTTTCAAAAATGAGAAAAGAAATCTTAATATAAGCACAGTTAGTCTCATTTGCACGTCTCTTTCCTACTCTGCCCCATTTCAGTGTGACCTCTCTCTTTCATCACGGCTTCCTGTGTCCTAGGCCAGGGAAGAAGGCAGCTAAGACATGTGTCCATACTAATGGATTATTGGCTTCTTGTGCAGCCCCAACCAGGGGCATTTGCATTTCAAAGGAAGTTTCCAGAGAGAGGCCAATGCTCAGCCCAAAGAAATGACTCCCTCATGATACCACCCAGACACCCAGAGGAGGTGTTCTGAGTCTGGTGTGATCCTCCTGCACCTCTCAGATCACAGCTCATGGGCACCTGCCTGTTCCACCACAGCTGTGTCCCCCATGGCCACAGAGCAATCACATTCTCATTACTTTGACCTGAATGAGAACTGAATTCCTTCTCTTGCCCCTGTGCCCACAGTGTCTCTGGTGGGGAGCTCTTTGACCGGATCCTAGAGCGGGGTGTCTACACAGAGAAGGACGCCAGTCTGGTGATCCAGCAGGTCTTGTCAGCAGTGAAGTATCTCCATGAGAATGGCATCGTCCACAGAGACTTAAAGGTGCCAAGGCAGGAGTCCTGGGTGGGAAACAGATAACGACCCTTAAGGAAGCAGCGCGGGTCGCGGGACGTCTAAGCTCTGTAAAGCAAGAGTGTCAGATTAGCTAACTTCAAGGCCCCTTCTGCCCTCAGATTCCTTAAGCAAATTTTGAAAGGCCGAACGATCATTGTTAATGTGCACCTCGGTCTTTTCCTGAACCTTTCACTGTGCCTCACCCTATTTGGATACCAAAATAATCCACACATCTTGAACTCAGCTGCAGTCAAAATCAAATGCAATGAAATACTTATTGCGGGTCTGCATTGCACCAGACTTTGGAGGTATCAGAGGCAATTAACCAAGGGTCGGTTCCCTCAAAAAGCAAACAGTCCTGGGGTAGTTGGGAGTGAGGGGAAGGAGGGGTTGGACATCGATGGCTGTGAGGCTGAGCAAAGTCAGGGCCATGGCATGAGGCAGAGGGCTGGGGTGCAGCGAGGAGGAAGGAGGAAACCGTGGGGGGAGATGAGCTGGCCTTGAAGCCAGGAGCCCGGCGTTCAGCTTCCTAAGAAATCATGTATTAAGGAGAAGCAAAGAGATACGTGTTTCGGGTGATCATATCCTACGCTCACATCTCTCTTCTCCTACAGCCTGAAAACCTGCTGTACCTTACCCCTGAAGAGAATTCTAAGATCATGATCACAGACTTTGGTCTGTCCAAGATGGAACAGAGTGGTGTCATGTCCACTGCCTGTGGGACCCCAGGCTATGTGGGTGAGTGTCAGAACAGGAGGGAGGTTGACCAGTTGGCTACATTTAACCACATGGATATGACTCATGGGAGTGATTGTGAGGACACAGGGGCTATCCCGGCAGACCACTCCTTCATGCGGTGTAGGGCCAGCCAATGCATCCATCTCTGGAACTACCCCTACTGTTCTTAAATCCTACAGCCTACCCCCACCCACTTCCCACAGCCCCTGCCTCTATCCTGGCTCCCACCCTTGCAAGCAGACTTCCGCCTTTGTCTTTCTGGCTGCACCAGGGGCAGAGACAGGATCACGAACCCAGAGATAAGAGCTGAGGGGTTGAGCACAGTCCCCTCACCTCTTTTCCGCTCTGGAGGAGACCTCAACTCCCCACTTTTGGGAGCCTGGAAGCCCAGGATATTGAGTTTGGGCCTGAGGAACCCGGATGTATCCCAAGGAAGCACTCTGGGAAACTGGCAGAGGTGGGGCCTCCTGTCTGAACAGCCCTGTAGGCTTCCAGGCTTGCCAAAAGGTGAGAGCTGGCAGGGTACCTGGGACAGTATTCCTGGGATCCACATTCACTCCTGCCCTTCCTCTTAGCCAGTTGTCACCTGGTTGAGGTTGGGGAATGGGAAGCAGAGCCCTGACTTGAGAGAGGGGACCTACTTTCTCCCAAAAAGGGAGGCCGTTCACTCACTGGCAGGTGTTGCGTCCACTGGTACGAGCCCTGGTATCTGGGATAAGCACAGACAGCAGCTCCCTACTGCCCTCGGGGTCCCGCCCGGAGGAGGACTTGCTCTTGCCCTCCCGGAGCTCTCGATCTGATGGGGCAGACTAAGCTCCAGCCCTCAGAAGGTGCCCAGAGTCCGATGGGAGAGCTACCACCGCCTGCCCTCCGGGAGCGCCTGACCTGGCCGGGGTGGGGGATGCAGCCTCTGTCCTCCAGGAGCTCCCAGTCTAGGGGGAGACAGACAGCCCCTGCACTGAAGCCCTCCCCGCCTGAAGGGAGAGGCACAGCCCCTGCCCTGGGGGTCCCCTACCTGAGTGGGGAGACACAGGCCCTGCCTTCAGAGAGCGCTCAGTGTGACCGCGGAGACAGAGCCCTGGAGAAGAACCCCAGCCTTTTTTTTTCTTTTTTTTGAGACAAGAGTCTCACTCTGTTGCCCAGGCTAGAGTGTGGTGGCATCAGCCTAGCTCACTGCAACCTCAAACTCCTGGGCTCAAGCGATCCTCCTACCCCAACCTCCTGAGTAGCTGGGCCTACAGGTGCATGCCACCACACCCAGCTAATTTTTCTATTTTTAGTAGAGACAGGGTCTCTCTCTCTCTCTCTCTGTCTCTGCTCAGGCTGGTTTCGAACTCCTGAGCTCTAGCCATCCTCCCACCTCGGCCTCCCAGAGTGCTAGGATTACAGGCGTGAGCCACTGTGCCAGGCCTGAGAGCCCTCAGTCTGATGGAGCAATCATGCACCCTGTCCAGAGGCAACTCCCAGTCTGAGGGGGAAATCACAGTCTCTCTTTGCAGGAAGATTTCGTCTTCCCGGAAGAGACACAGCCCTGCCCTTGGGGAGTTCTCAGTCTGATAGAAACACCACCTCTCCCTGGTCTTCCCTAGTCCTCTAAGCCTCTTGCAGACCTTCAGCCCCCACCTCAGAGCCCCCTCCTCTTTCCCCGAGCCCTGACTCTGCCCTTGGTATGCTGCAGCTCCGGAAGTGCTGGCCCAGAAGCCCTACAGCAAGGCTGTGGACTGCTGGTCCATCGGCGTCATCACCTACATCCTGTGAGTAGACGCTGGCGCTGGCTCCGCTCCTGGGAAATCTCAGAGCCCGCCCGCCCCTTCCCCTCCGCTCGCCCGTCTCAGCTCCTCCTCCACGGCATGTACATGTGCACACACTCACACGCGCACACGCTCGCACGTGTGTGCACACCGCTCCAGAGCTTCCTCTGTCCTGACCTCCGCCAAATCATAAAAACCGAGCCCAGCATGAACCCACCGCCCAGCCAGCTGTCTCCCCGCTCTGCTGCTTCCCACCCCTACTTTCTGTGAGTGACCGTGTGAGTCCCCCTCTGGGGAATGAGCAGTGAAAAAGAGAGAGGCTGAGCCCGGTGCGGAAGCCGGTGGACCCGCTGCTCCTGCATCTCAGCCTTCTCTCCCCAGGCAGAGCGGTGGCCCGCATGACACTGGTCAGGGCCTCTCCGGGTCACTCCCCTGCACACACTTCCAGGCTCTCCCTTTCCTTCCCTGCTCATCACCTCCTCCCCACCATCCCCCTCACCTACAGCAAACTTGCCCTTAGGAAGATAACCCACTATGAGATATTTGCCCCTTAGTGTGAATTCGGTTCTCTATTTCCTCAGCGTATGTTGAATAATTACTCTCATTCATTCATTTGCTCAGCCAATAGTCACCGGCTGCTCTGCGTCAATCCCTGGGCTAGGTGCTCAAGAATAGAGCAGTGAACAAAACAGCCTAAATAAATCCCTCGTGAAACTTACATTCAAGTGGGAATTCTACCAACCTTCTTCAGGCTCTTTTATACAGCATCCAAGAGCCAGGGGAAGCACAGGGAAGGTGGCAAGGGTTTGGGGGAATAACATACAAAGGGGCCCTCCGGGGCTGCCTGTTCCAAGCCCGGGCACCTGTGTAAACACTGTATTTCTGAATCAGAGGCAGACGTGTGTCCTGGTCACACCGCTGGTCTGGGCCCCCGTTGCCCGCCTGTGTGCACAGTGGGGGTCTGGGGCGGGGAGAGAGGCTGGCCCAGAAGGACAGGGTTGCTCAGCTGCATACTTTTCTCCTGTCCCACTGCAGGCTGTGTGGGTATCCCCCTTTCTACGAAGAAACTGAGTCTAAGCTTTTTGAGAAGATCAAGGAGGGCTATTATGAGTTTGAATCTCCATTCTGGGATGACATTTCTGAGTCAGGTAAGGCCAGTAGGTGTGAAAGACAGATAACAGAGTCGAGGCGGCGGCCGCCAAGAGAAAAGAGCTTAAAAAAGGATGACAGGCCGGGCGTGGTGGCTCATGCCTGTAATCCTAGCTCTCTGGGAGGCCGAGGTGGGCGGATTGTTTGAGCTCAGGAGTTCGAGACCAGCCTGAGCAAGAGCGAGACCCCGTCTCTACTAAAAATAGAAAGAAATTAATCAGACAACTAAAAATATGTAGAAAAAATTAGCTGGGCATGGTGGCACATGCCTGAAGTCCCAGCTACGCGGGAGGCTGAGGCAGGAGGATCGCTTGAGCCCAAGAGTTTGAGGTTGCTGTGAGCTAGGATGACGCCACAGCACTCTAGCCCGGGCAACAGAATGAGACTCTGTCTCAAAAAAAAAGAAGGATGACAGTCCTGGCTCCTCAAAATCCCCGAGGATCTTATGGAACAGGCTGCCAAGGAAAGTGGAGAAATCTTCATCGGCTTCAAAGGCCAGATAAATTATTTACATCTAAGGGCCATGCTTTTGTTTTTCTGGGGGCAGAGCCACAGCATGCTTGGGGAAGGGGTCGTGGGGGTGGGCAGTTTAGCTGAGAGGCGGGGAGGGCAGAGCCAGGCGTCGGGGGAGTGTTCCAGGCGGGAGCGGCAGAACCGAGGGGGTAGATCCCAACAGGAGTGTGCGACATCTGTGTGTGAGAAGGTGGTCATTCCATGCTTGTTGGGCCTGTGAAATCAGAGCTGGAACAAGCCAGCACTCACATGCGTGCCCACGTGCGGGCGCTGGCCCGTGTTTCGGTGCAGATGCACACACATGGGATGTGCGGGCACATCGGTGCCTCGTGACGAGTGGTGTTTCTGCAGTGCTGTGTGGGTGAGCTCTTAGAACCTCTCTTCTTTGGTGGTTTGTGGTGGGTTGTTTTTAGGTGGTTTGGATTTTTTTTTCCTCTCTTTCAAGCCTCTTAAAATTGCCTCTTTGGAAAATTAGCTAAAGATGCATTCACTGCCACCCACCAGCCCGGAAGTGAATTTCCATCAGTCATGAAATCTGGTCCTTAGTTGTCGTGTCTCTGCTTGTTCCTCTTAGCCAAGGATTTTATTTGCCACTTGCTAGAGAAGGACCCGAACGAGCGGTACACCTGTGAGAAGGCCTTGAATCACCCCTGGTGAGTGAGCAGTGGGCTGGACCCTGGACCCTGGCCTGGTGGCTCCCAAAGCCATGCTGACTTGTCACGTCACATCCCCCGGAATCTGCTTGCCCTGAGCCATGTGCTGTCGTGACGTGCAGGGAACATGAGACTGTTCATCGGGTCCAGATGGAGACACAGACAGCATTTCATGGAGCATGTTCAGACCTAAGGGTGGCGGCTGAGTTGTCCAAGTCAAGCGCAGGAGATGGGCGCAGCCAGGCGCTGTCATCAGCTCTGGGGCAGGGTGCAACGCTCAGTCCTAGTTACCCGAGAGGCGCCACGAACAGGCAATTCTCTCCTGTCCTTAAGAGCTTCGTTTTACTCTGGTTTCTGAGCCTGTTCCAGGTGAAGTGATTTAAGAACAATCACAAAGCAGCCAATGATAAAATAGGAAAAGAAAGTCTTGAAACTCTTTTTTTTCATGTTACTCCTCTGCTCAAGAATTTACAATAGCTCCCCACTTCCCACCACGGCAAGCCTAGAGTCCTTTGTCTTTCAGATTTTCCTTAATCCGGCCTGACTCTTTATCTCCAGCGTCATTTCCCCCGATCCCCAACACACCTTCTCTGTTCCAGATAGGCCTAAGGGCTATCCCTCTCTCCCTGCCCTCCCTCACGTACCAAGGTCCTTCCTAACTGCACCTTGGGTCAGACCATTTTCACCACCCACAATGCTCTGCTTCTTGCGCTATATGTAGCATCCGTCAGGATCCAGATCAGTCTCTGCCCTTCCCCGAAGCCCTCACCCCTGCAGTCCATGCAGACCTCCCCATTTGTCTTTATTAATTACACAGCTCACCCTAAATCACTCCAGTCCATGGCATGAACGATGCCCCACGCCTAGATAAGCTCCCAGAGGTCAGGTCCCACGTCTCCTACTTCTCTGGGTCCGGGGCAGTCGGCATGGTACTGTACACACAGCAAGTGTCTGGGGAACACTTAAGGACAGGTGAGTGAGAGGCTGAGGGGGTAAGAAAAGGTCAGCCTGTCCCAGATGGCACCAGCTGGTCCTCCCTGAGGAAGCCTTCCAGGAGGAAGTGAGTTCTGAACAAGAGTTTGGGGTAAAGGACAGTGACCACCCAAGTGGTCTGTGATGCTGGGGTCAACAAACTTTTTCTATAAAGGACCAGATAGTAAATATTTTAGGCTTTGCTGGTCATACTGTCTCCATGGCAACTACTCAATCCTGCTGTTGTAATGCAAAAGCAGCCATGGACAATACTTCAATGAGCACGGCTGTGTTCCAATGAAACCTCACTTACAAAAACAGGAAATGGGTAGATTTGGCCTACAGGCCATAGTTTGCCAACCCTGCTCTGAAAGTTTTTGGTTTTGCCAAAGTATAAGCCCTTTCTCCTGGGCACTCTATTCTGCTTTAGCCTGGACCTGCATGCTCCCTGCCCACCCCCGGCTGAGCGTCCATAGCCACCTAGTAGCCAGGTGTCCCCTCCTGCATCCACAGGATTGACGGAAACACAGCCCTCCACCGGGACATCTACCCGTCAGTCAGCCTCCAGATCCAGAAGAACTTCGCTAAGAGCAAGTGGAGGGTAAGCTGTGCTCCCCAGAGGGTGAGCAGGCCGTCTGGGCCCCGGGAGGCTGGGCTGGCGGGGGCTGCCATGAGGGCTTTCCTCGGGGCGTCCCAGCAGGCACTGGAGCTCCCTGCACCCTCCCTGAAAGGAGAAGTGGCACACTGGTTTCACGAGGCCACAAGGCAAAGGGAAACCTTGAGCCCGAGGTCCTCTGAGGGTGCAGAAGGCCCGAGGCTGCGCTCGTGTCTCCTTAGCAAGCCTTCAACGCAGCAGCCGTCGTGCACCACATGCGGAAGCTGCACATGAACCTGCACAGCCCGGACGTCCGCCCCGAGGTGGAGAACAGGCCGCCCGTCACTCCAGCCTCGGAAGCCTCCAGACCCAGCTCCCCTGAGATCACCATCACCGAGGCACCTGTCTTGGACCAGGGCGTGGCACTCCCAGCCCTGACCCGGCTGCCCTGCCAGCACAGCCGCCGGCCCACTGCCCCCGGTGGCAGGTCCCTCAACTGCCTGGTGAACGGCTCCCTCCGCATCAGCAGCAGCCTGGTCCCTATGCATCAGGGGCCCCTGGCCGGCGAGCCCTGCGGCTGCTGCTCCAGCTGCCTGAGCACCGGGAGCAAAGGGAAGTCCTCCTACTGCTCCGAGCCCACGCTCCTCAAAAAGGCCAACAAAAAACAGTACGTATTTTCAGCCAAAGACGGAGCCCCAGCCCTGCTCAGCCCGGGTCTGAAAGAACTCAGGCAGGAGGACTGATAGCAATGGACCAAGAAGCCTCTCCTGCTCATGGGAGCTCTAAAGGGTGGGAAGAGCTCTGGGTCAGGGGTCAAGGGAAAGGCTTTCAGCCCTGTCCCTGTCACTCACTGGCTGCGAGCCCATTGGCAAGTCAGTGAATGTCTCTGCCTCTAGTTTGCTCATCTGTAAAATGGGTTGATTGAAGTATATTTACCTGCTCAGCCTGCCTCACAGAGGCACTGTAAAAGTTCAGTGAAGCAACAGATTATAAAAGCCCACAGAAAACTGGGTACATGTGAGTGGTGAGCATTAGATTCCTCGAGTTGCCAGGGCCTCTGTGTCTTGGAGGAGGAACGGGGTCAGCAGGACTTGGTTGTCTTGCATGTGTTCTCTGCAGGGGTTTGGACTTTCTGAACCTCGTGAAGGCAGAGCTGAGTGGATGCCGCAGGCACAGAGAACTACCCCCCAAATCGTCTCCCTTCCTCAAATGCTTCAAAGGCTGCTGCTTCCTTTCCTTTCTAGGAACTTCAAATCAGAGGTCCTGGTGCCTGTGAAAGCCGGTGGCAGCTCCCACTGCCGGGCAGGGCAGACTGGGGTCTGTCTCATCATGTGATCCCTGGAGCCTGTGCCCGTGTCACTGCACCTTTCAGGTGAGGACGAGAGGCCAGAGGGCCAGGACCCAGGGCCTGGGGAGAGCTCCCGTCCCAGAGGAGAGCCCCATGCCGGAGTCTCAGTGATGGGGTCTGCGGGGGGCTGGAGGTGGCAGCCCCACCCTCATCCTGCACCCCTTCCCTGCAGGAGAGATGTTCAACTCTTCTCCGCCCTTCCAAACATGGCGTCTACCTGGCAGAGCGAGGACAGAAGAGCAAGTGGAGCAGGGCCTGGCAGGAGCCGGTTCTGGTCAGAAGCACCAGCCCCTTAAGGAGGCCCGGGAGGAAGCCCCAAGGCACGGAGGCCTCAGTTGAAGCTACGGGCAGGAGGAGCAGCACCCGCCGGCTTCCAGGTCCCCCTGACCTGCCTGCTCTCTGCCCCTACACCCCACGTACCGTGGCTCTGTGCAGCGTGCGTAGATAGCTCTCGCCTGGGTCTATGCTGTTTGTCGTGAAAAGCTTAATGGGCTGGCCAGGCTGTGTCACCTCCTCTAAGCAAAGCCATATGGAGCATCCACCCAGCCCCCGCTCTGCACACGCTCCGTCCTCATGGCCAGAATGGGCTCATTGACGTAGTTGCCTGCCCATCTGCATGAACGACAGGCAGCTCCCCATGGTCTGCCGTGAGCTCTCGAAGTTCTGATCCTTAACTGCGGGCTAATTCTCACCCACGCTGAGACCCAGCCAGCCAGCTCCCGGGCACACTTCTGTCCCCTCCCTCTGTGCCTCAATCTAAAAGCAGTGCCGCACCCTCCAGGGTGGAATCGAAAGACACTCACGACTAGGGACTGTGAGGAATTCTCGCCCTGGCCACATGCCCTCCACGCACACAACCAATTACCTTAACGTTGGAAGTTGACTATTTTACTTTCAGCCAGGAATTCTAATCCCGCCTCTGTTTCCCTTTCTCTCCTTGAAAGACAGGCACGTGTTCTTGTCCCTCCCCAGTTCCCTCACTGTCCCCCGCCCCCTCCAGCTTCATGCTCAGTGTTGTGCACAATAAAATGGACATATTTTTCTCTACAAGGTTTCATTTGGTTCTTGCAAAGTCAGGAGACGTCTGAGCCTGTCTGGAGTGGGACGTTCACGGGCAGCCGAGGTCAGGGAGGAGCCAGCACTGTGGCTAGTGGGTATTAGGAGCGTGCAGTGTGCCAGGCACCCTGTGACATGAGTTACGCGAGTTACACCACTGACTCAGCTACTCCTCCCGACAGCCCCTTGGGGTGGGTTCTGGTGGAGCCCAGGCAGTCTGGCTCAAGCAGCTGTTTTCTTAATGACCGCATTAGATGGGCATGACTTTGAGCCCAGCTCTGCCCCAACCTGCCGTGTCTGTGACCTTGACTTAGCCTTCTGTGCCTGGTCTCTTCACTTGTCCAATGGGAATAACAGCAGCACCCACATCGTGAGATAATGCAGGTGATGTGCCGAGCACAGCACTGAGTGAATAATTAACATCATTAACGATGGTCAAGAAGGTAATGTAGATAAAATGCCTCACACGGGGCCTGCCTGGGCCACGGTTAGCACACAGATGTTCATGCCATTCCATAGCCCCCCATCACCACCTGCACACACACCCATTTACATTTGAGACCTCGAGATCCTAGTCTTCGTCCTGCCTCTGGGAGCTCTGTGATTTGGGACACGTTACTTTGCTTCTATGGAGTTCTCTGTCCCATCTGTAAATGAGAAGCTGTAGGGCTGTTCAAAGGTGAAAACTGCACCTCTGGTCTCTCAAGGATAGAACCCATTGGATCCTGGGGCAGAGGGGCCCAGGCCCCCTAGTCTGGGTGCCAAGCAAGCTGAATGGAGCGGGAGCACCCAGGAACTCCACGTGGGAGGCAGAAACAAGAATAAAGGCTTACTTAGCTGGGACACAGGTCATTTTCCCTCTTTGAACCTCCAAGGCTCTTTTCCAAAGATTTTTATTGGCCTTTTCATTTTTACATTATTTTTTGTTAAGTTTTTGTGTTGGTCTAGGATTCAGCTACAACAGAAAACAAAGGGCAAGGACACTGCCCAGCCCAGCTCCCTTGGCTGGAAAGCTCCTAGTCATGATGACATGCCCACCTCCACCGTCTTCGTCCTTCAAATGTAGTTGCCCCATCAGCTGAGGCTCAGCGGAAGCCCAGGGTGACCTTAATAGCCGCACACCGGGAGTGGTCCAGGCTGTGCCTGAGCAGCATCAAAGTCCCCTGAGGCCGCAAAGCATTCCAACCCAGTCTGCCCCCCAAGAGCAAAGAGGGCAGGTGAGCGGGGCCGGGGCTGGCACTGGCGCGTCACTTGCAGGTGGCGTAGTAGAGCACGCGCGCGTTGATGTGGTCTCGGATCTGCTCCACGCGCTTCTCCAGCCCGGTCAGGTCCGCCGAGCGCAGCATGATGGCCTGGCTGCCCCGCAGGAGCTCTGACTCCATGTCTGCGGCAAATGGAACAGCAGCGGGAGGAGGAGTTGACGGTGAGACACCCAAAGCCTCCCGACTCTTCCTTCTCCTCCCCTTCCTGGAGGCAGCACTCGCAGGAGAAACGCCGTCCAGGGGAATCTGGCCGCTGAGGCAGTGATGCCTCCAGCCTCGCGCCCCTCCAGCCTCTACCCCACGCTCAGAAACCTGGCAGGGCCGAGGCCCCGGAGGCCCCCACTCCCAATTATCCCTGTGCCCCTGCCCCTCTCTCTGCTCCAGGCTCTCTCAGTTGTCCCAGGCTGATGAAGGAGGCCACAGGCACCCAGATTAGCAACCTGACGTTGGTGGACCCAGACAGCTGCCATCCCACCAACGATCCTCAAGTGGGCAAAAGAACCGGCCGGGTGACCAGAATTCCTCCCCACTTTCTCGCCCCAAAGTGCCATTCCAGATAAATCTAGGCATCCTCCTCCGGTGCATTCTGCACACCACCACCAGATTATGCCAGCACCCCCATCCCTCTAGGCAGGAGTGTCTCTACCACATCCACGAAAGCTGGTACCCAGCCTCGGCCTGAACTTCTCCGGGAATAGAGGGGGAGCAGGGCCCGCCTCACGAGGCTCCAACTTTAAGGCAGCTCTGGTTATTCAAAAATCATCTTCTCATGAAGCCAAACTCTGACCCCTTCTTGCTTCCACCCGGTTGTCGCAGGTCTGTCTCCTGCGGGTACGAGAAGGCATCTGCTCTGCCCCCACGTGGCAATCCTTCACTCTTCCGAGGATTTACTGTCTCCGGGCTAAACGTCTCTAGTTCTTTCATCCACTCCTCATCTGATACAATGGCTGAGTCACTCCCCGTACCCCAGATGCGTGCAGGTCTGTCCACATCCCTTCCGAGGATGTAGGAGCCATCACCGGAGCATCATGCTCATGGGTGAGCTCCCATGAGCAGAGTGTAACAGCTTATCACTGGGCTGACATTGAGCCGGTGGGACCCACATGGACTCACAGGTTGATAAAATATTGAAATATGCCCATAGCGATTGTTAAACAGCTGCTGTTCTCAGCCCCCGGGAGGCCCCCATGCACCATCCTCCCATTACCCTGCAATTAAAGGTCAATTCCTGCAAGCAGGTACGTTCCTATTCCAGTGCTACCCCCTGAGCCTTTTCTGGTTGGTGGGCACGTGCCACACCAGGGGCTACATAGTGTTGCTGTCACCCCTGAGCTAGTACTCCCCTTACTTCGGCTGCTTTGTGCTTATTAATTCTTTTGGCAGTAGCAAGACATTGCCAGCTATAACAAGCTTGCAGTTACACAAAGTCTTGGGTCATTTTCTGGTGAGTGACAATTCATGTTTGCTTATCACTCAGCAGTTATAAAGTGTCTTCAGTGGCCGTAGCCACTGGGAGGCCAGGCCTCCCCTGAGCTGTACCTGTGGGTTCAAGCCCAAACAGGGCCAGAGTGTGAGGCCACTTTTCTCCTTATTTAATTTTATCCATTAGCTTCAGCCCATCCTTTTAGACTTTTGCTATTTATTGTCTTAGAATATTGGCTCTGTTATCCGGTGTCTTAACTCTCTGTCACCCACAGATCTGATAAACAAATTCTTGATTGTCATGAAAAGCATCGAAGAGCAAGGCCAGAGCAGGCACTGACCCAGCCGCTGGCTCCTCCCCTGGGTCGGCACCTCTCGCCTTGCACTCAGGGGTTGCACGTCCTACAGCCTCACGTCTGTTTGTCAGCAACCCACCAGCCCAGGCTTCTCTGTGGGATCCACTTGGCTACGCAAAGAGACTTCTGCCAATCACTTCTGCTGAAACCCAGAGAAACTCTGCCTGTGGCATTCACTGGACACACCAGCCCCGTGTCCTATCATCTCGCCTTAGAGACTGACTCTGGTTCCTGAGGAAACCTCAGAACCCTTTCAAAAGCTACTTTCACTATGTCTGCCATATCCAAAACCCTCAGATATGCCCTACTGCCTCCAGGGCTGTCCACCCTCCTCCTGCTCACACTGGAAGCCCAGCACATGGACCCAGCCACACTGTCCCCACTTCTTTCCCCCCGGCTCCTCGTCAACCCTCCTCTCCTGTCCTAGCCTCAGAGCATGCCTTGCTCCTTCTCACCACTCTAGTCCTCCTCCTCACAGCCTCTCCCAGGCCTATGCATCCTCCCAGACCTGCCTCCAATCCCATCCTTTCCTCCCTTCACTGACCATGTCTCTCTGAAATTATTTATTCTCTGAACCCCTAGAGCTCTTATTATTCTGCCCCCAGCACAGACCGCCTTGTCCTGTCGAATACAGCTCTGTGCATCGCGCAGGCAACGGGGAGAATGGCCCCATCTGGACTGCACGCTTCTTGACGGTGGGCCGGGTCGTGTGAACATCTCTGCATGCCCCCGCCCCGTCGTGCACCTCTCACCTCCTAGGTGCTCAGGACACCCACCTGACCTCACTCCCTTAGCTCCGCTGGCTCCAACAAGAGTGGGCCTCGGGAGCCCTGGGCTGGCACCAGCCTTCCGGGGTGCCTGGCCGCCCACGCCCTGGACCATTCCCTCACCTTTCATCCTGTCCATCATCTCCATGGTCTCTCCAAACAGCTCCTCCGCCTCTGTCTTGACGTCCAGAATCCGGCTGCCCTGCTCACCCAGCAAGGGACTCCGACCCAGCCGGTCCTTCAACTCGGCATATTTTTGCTTTATTCTCTCAAATCCCTGAAAGAGGTAGAACAGTCTCAGTGCCGTCATCAGCATCCAAGGTCCTAAAGGCCTGTGCTTAAAGCACTTGATATCACCCAAATCAACACACAGTGATAAGGTGCGTCCTATTATTCCCCGGTAGGGTTGGGTTTGCCCGTAAAAACCCCCGAGCCACAGACTGTGTCTTAAACTTCTGTATTTCCCTCCCTCCATCTCCAGCTCCTGTTATCGCCCACGTCACTTCCTGCACAATGTCAGGCACATAATAGTATGTTACTATTAAGCTGCTACTTGACAGAGGACGTAGCAACTTGGTCACTGTACCAGGATTGCAAGTGCCAATGTTCCTGGCCCAGGGTTTGCAGGTGGTACACTTGGGACACCGAGAATGGCTCTTTGATCTTCTCTCTCATCTAATTCTGACAATAATAAGGAAAGACTGTCTGTCCTCCCTGGGGACCCAGGAGACAAGCTCTGCATTGGGTGTCAAGAGACCTGCTTGGTAGATGAGTGTCAGGCCTACGGACAAGGCACCCCTCATCTGTAAAAGGAGAGGGATCAGACTAGATCAGCTCCAGCGTCCCTGAGCCAGTAACACCAAAGGCAGCAGAGAGAGAAATCAGACACCTGGCCAGGTTTAGGTTAATCCTGGAGGCCCCTCTGGTTCTGTTATTCTAAGCACAGTTGAGTCCATGGTTTTATAAAGTGTGCTAAGTCCCCTCCTGCTCAGGACCCCTCACTGGCTGTGCCTCACTGGCTGACTCTGTCCTCTCTGTACCTCCTGGGCACTCAGCGCCCGCTTGTTGGCGCCTTCTGCAAGCTGCTCGGCCCGGACTGCCTGCGCCCGCTGCTGCTGGGCCTGGCGGCGGAGCTCCTCCATCCGTGCCCAGAAGTCACCCAGCTGCTCTGTCATGCCTGTCACCAGCCTTTCCGCCGGCCCCAGGACCTGCTGAACCTGTATGGAAAGAGGGAGATGTGGGGTTTGTGGTGGGTCTCCCAGGCAAGGGCCTTCGTCCCCACCTTTTCTCCAACTCAGCAGGTAGCAGAAGCTCTCTCCCCCCAGGACGTCATGACTGCCCCCTCCCAAGCCCCTATCTGTCCCCTGACACCCCGGCCCTTCCTTCTCCAGCCCAGCTGACCCCCCACTCCTGCGTTCACCCATGCCTTCTGCATCCCAGCCACGAGACCAGAAAACCCAAGGCTCAAAGTCGGCCCCAAGGCTTGTACCCCTCCTTCTCTAGAACTCCAGCCCAGGTTCCTTCAGGTCACTTTCTGGCACCTTCTATGCCTTGCACCTACATCTGTCTGTTCATTCCCAAATAGTGGGGGCGGAAGCCATAACTCCTCACCTCAGCAACCCTGTCCTGGATAAGCCGAAGGGAGCGGCTGGTGCCTTGCATGGTGTCCTGAGCCTCCTGCAGCGCCACCGTGCCCTGCCGCAGGTTCCCGACCACATCCTCCACCTGGCCCTCCACCGTGTGGGCTCGGCTCCTGGGTGAGGGAGGCAGAAAGGAGAGGAGAGAGAGAATGAGTGAACGGTGAAGGAATAAATGTGTGCTTCACATCATGCACCATCATCACACCCTACCCAGCCAAGACAAAGAGTAAGGGGACTGCTGACTCAGCAGCTGGGACCTCCCAGGACCCCACCAAGCAGACACGACGGATGTGAACGTTATGCCTGAGACACCCGCCGGGCACGGTTTTCAATAGGGAAGACGGGGTCACGCAAGAAAAGTTTAACTTGGACTCTGGGTATCACTTAGCCATCCCCCCGCCACAGTAAACATCCCTTCCTGTCTCCCCACCCTCTGCACCCCTCTCCCGGCAATGGGGTTGGGGAGCCACACACCAGCCCAATCCCATGCAGGGAGAAGTACAAGGCCAAGGCCATACCTGGCCTGTTCGGCCTCAGCCTGGAGCCTGCGGGCCCGCGCAATGTCCTGCTTGGTCTGGGACAGCACCAGGTCCACGTTGGGGAGCCTGGCCGCGATGGCCTGGATCTCGTTCATTTTCTGCAGGACGGTAGCTGAGTCTGTGGGCAGCCACAGGGCCAGCACGGCCTCGCTGACCTTCTGGATGGTGGCTGCATCGGTGTCGGGATCTGGAAGGCAGCCGTGCATCAGATGTGGGAGCCCACTCAGCTCCCCAAAGATCTGAGGCCTCTCCAGGCTGAGCGGCACCCACAGGAGTCACATGCAGTGGCCCTCTGCCACGGTGCCCCTCTCAACCAGACACAGTGCCTGTTCTCCGGGAGCGTCTGGGAATGCTGTAGGAGGATGATTGTCCTGTGCTCCACGCTGGCGCTAGGAGGAGGCGTGGGGAGGGAGTGTCAGCACAGCTGTGGCAACTAAGTGTCTGGTGCCACAGGAAGCTGTGGGCTGGGGAGACAGAGGTGGTGCCAGACAGCTGGTACCGAGCAATGCCTGCAGCACACACATAATCAGCCCTAAATGTGGAAGAACGGCCAGGAACTGGAGCTGCTTCCTTGGCAGTAAGACCCCTTCCCCGCACCCCTCCTCAGGCCGGAATGCTCGTGTTTGCAAAGGCAGATAAGAATCATCAGGTCTTTGCTGGAAAGTCACCTTCTCAGAGAGGCCAACCCCGGCCACCCAATCTAGAATCGCAGCCTCCACCCTAGACCAGCATTCCTTATCTTCCCTCCCTGCCGCGTCTTTCTCTTGAGCACTTAGCAACACCCACAGGCTGAACACCGAACTCATTCAACTAGATTTTTGTTTCTTTCCCCAGTAGAACGAAAGCCCCATGAGGGCAGGGACTGGGTTTTGTCCACGGCCATACCCCCAGACCCTGCGCAGTGCCTGGCACTTGGAGGTCCTCGGGGTTTGCAGAGTGAATGGAGGACTGAAAAGGTTCCAGATCCAAATCTCCTCTTTGCTATTCAAGCAGCCCGAGGCAAGTCAAGTGGCTTCTCTGAGCTCAGTTTCCTGATCTGGGAAATGGGAATGATGATCCCCAACCTGAGGGCATGACGTGAAATAATCTCCTGGCAAGAGTTGTTGCACCAACGCTGGGTCAGAGAATAAGAGGTACAGAGAGGACATCCCCTCCCCATCTCTCCCTGTTCCCTCTTACAGATTGCACTGGCATCGAGGTGTTGGGGAAGGGGCACCACCCACCCCGATGGCTTGCCCTGGGGCCTGAACTCCTGTGGGGCCCCGAGCCCAGCCTCGTTCCACAACCAGAGGGTTTCCTCACCAGCTGGCTACACAGGTCCCATCCCCAGCCCCCTCCCTACGCTAGGCGGAAGGACACTCCAGAAGGTGGAAGTCACGCCCATTCATGTCCGGGTCCCTCGGGTGCATGCAGCAGCACTGCAGGGGCCCAAGTAATAATTGCGGCTGAGTTTAACATGGTGGGTTTATCTCAAACACAAGCTTTCACGAGGACCCTCACACAGAGACCGTCAACCCTTCGTCTCACCCAGAGTCCTACTCTCAAAACAAGGCTTCATATGCTCCACCTGCAGAGAGCCTCCCACCCTGAGCACGTGCCTAGCTCTGGCCCTTCCTTCATTCCGCATTGCTTCTGCCGCATGCACGAGCTTGGTCTGCGTGACACCCGCTTCCATGGCCTTCTGGGTATCAGGCTGGGCTCAGCAAGTATATGCAATGTTTTGAACAATAGCGCAGGAGGAGCTCAGACTGCAAATCAAATTAGACTCGGTCCCTGCCCTTATGGAGCTGGAAATCTAGTGGGAGAGACGGCACATACACAAGGAAGCACAACACGGAGTGAGAAGGTGAGTGCAGGTGCTGGGATGGCCATGGGAGGGGCGCCTGACCCAGTCTATAGGTACAGGGAGGACTCCTAGAGTCAGCCAGGTCGGGGCAGGCGGGGGAGGGGAGAGGAAAAGCATTAGCAAAGGCAAGGAGGCCAGAGCGTGCACCCGTGTGTGTGTTCATCCCACAGTGCAGTAACGTAGAGTGTGCATGATGAAGTGAGTTATCAGGCCTGACTCCTACTTGCACCACCTCCAAGCTGGAGGCCTTCGGGCAAGCAGCTTAACCTCTCTGTGCCTAGATTCTTTATGCGTAAAGTGGAAGTAATGATAGTACTTAGCTGATGTAGTCAGGATTAAATAATGTAATACATGCCTGACATTCAGTAACAATAACTTAATAAACCTTAACAATTCCATTTGAAGAACTGGGGAAGACGATGTCTTCTCCTCCCCCTCCCCCCATAGAACTTCTACTCTCACTCCCACACCGCGACCCTGCATCCAACAGCAGACAGCACGGGGCGCCTCCTGTGCTAGGACCCTGGAGACTAGAACTTGCCACTCTGACAACTGCGGGAAACTTCCCGGGTCCAGGCCTCTCTCAGGCCCTGATTTTTCTCTCTGCCCCTGGACTCATCCTAGGACTTGACCTGAGACATGAGTTTAACGGAGACGACAAAAGGGGCCTGGCAGCTCCCCACCTGTTCACGAGAGCCTGGCAGCCCCTGCACGAGAGGATTCCACCCCACCTCCCAGCCCGGAGGCCAGGGCCCTGGCTGAGGTCAAGGCAGGCTGAGTGGCCGTTCAGCCTCACTGGGCTTGACTCGGCAGGGCAAGACACCCTGCAAGTCTGAGCCCCAGCCCCTGGCCTGCCCTGTCATCCGCATTAGTTGGGCCCCATCTCCCTGCATCCCCCAGGTAACACCTCCCTCCAGTGTGGACCTCAAGGCCTTAAGCAAGTCATGGGTCCTCAGTGGGTCCTTCCTGCCTCTCTCTGACCTGCCATCTGCACTCCGGAGGGGGCTTTGGCCTATTTGGGCAAAAACACCGTCATAGTAGCAAGAAGAGTCACTGTCATTACACTAAGCCCTCAGCTCCTATTAACTGGGCTCCCAGCCAAGCAAACTCCCTGGCAGGAACCAGAGATCTAATAATACCAACTCTCGTTCCTGAGGCACCTTTAGTTTTTCAAAACACATTTTACATCAGTTATTTGATCCTCAGAATAAACCGCGAAATACTACCATTCCTGTTTATAGAAGCAAAAGGCGAGGCAAAAAGAAAAGCAACCTGCCCAAAGTCACACCAGTCCCCTGGGTCCTGTCCAGGGATCTTTCCATCCCACAGCCCTTCCTCACTCCCCAGGGCAGCCGGGGAGGGGATCTGCTCATTTATTCCTTCCGCCAGTGTCGGTGCCTTTCTGTGTCTGGCCTTATGCTGGGTGATACAGCGGTGACCAAGACAGACGACTATCACTGCCCGCTTGGAATTTACAGTCTAGTGCAGTGACAAATAATTCATCTGTAGACAAATGCATGAGTCTGAGCAGTGCCATGGAGGTAAGACTGCAGCGGGGAATGGGGCAGGAGGGGACAACCACAGAAAGGGGGGTCAGGAGAGGCCACAGGCAGCAGCAGCCTTGGAAAAAGCATTCCGGGCAAAGAGCAAATAAAGGTCCCCGAAGCAGGCAGCCTGACCTGCCTAAGGACAGTCCGTGAGCGAAGGGGAGAGGAGCGCAAGGTCACAGCCAAGCCATGGACAGAGGCCAGACTTTGCAGGCCGTGGGAGGAGCGGGGAATTTATTCCAAGGACGAGGTGAAGCCACTGAAGGATTTTAAGCAAGAGCGGGATGTGATGATCTGACTTAGACATTTTTCAAAGACGTTTCAGGCTGCTCTGTTGAGAAGGAGAATGGGTCACCGGGGAGCAGGGGGAGGCGAGGGAACAATGAGAAGGCCCTGGCAACGGTCCAGCCGCGCCACGGGGGCCTGGGCCAGGGTGGTGGCGGGTGTGGGGATGAGAGAGGAGGCGGCCAGCTGATGACCTGAACGTGGGAGGGAGGGACGGGCAGGAGGCGTCCGCCAGGGGCAGGGGGCAGACCAGCCTCACCTGTGAGGAAGTCGCGGACCTGCTGGATGAGGAGCCGCGTGCGGCGGACGTCTTCCTCCATCTGGGCGCGGCTGGTGCTCACCTGGGTCTCCAGGCGCTGGGCGTCCGACTGCACCTGCGCGGCGGCCTCCTCGGCTGCCCTGATCTGCCGACACACACCAGGGGTCGGAGGCGTGGAAGCCCAAGGGAGCCTCTCAGCAGTCTCTGAGGATTCTGTGGCTCATCCTCCACCCCAAGACCTACCTAGGAAGCATCTGTAACCAACCTAGTGTGGCCCCAGAAGAAATGTGTGGATGTTGGATTAAAAAAAAAAAAAAAGCCCAAAAGATTGGCTCCACACACTATCTGGCACTTGCTGTGGGGCCTCGAGCAGGTCGCCTAACATCTCTGGGCTTTAGTCTCCTGATGGTAAAAGGGGAACTCTGAATTGCCCAGGGCTCCATCCTGCCTGTGCCCACCCGCCTCGCCGCACCTACCATCTGCCTGGTCTGCTGGAGCTGGGCGTCGAAGCCCCGCAGCTGCTCGGCCACCTGTCCCGCCGTCCGGAAGGCCCCACCAGCCCTGGCAAGGGCACCCCTGCAGTGTGAGCCGCAGGTCGTGCGGTTGTCTCGGGGACACAGCTCGCCAGGGCATGCTCCTGGGGTGCAGGCCGTCTGCCTGGAGCCGCCGCAGAGCTGAGGGGAAATGGGATGTCAAAGAGGCCACCCAAGGCCCCTCCACCACTGGTCCCAGCCCACACCCAGGAAACACACAGCCAGACATGTCCATGACAACCAGGCACCAGAAACTTGTTTCCTTGGCAACTGCTGGGCACACAGTGAGGGGCACAAGGTCGGGACGGGTACAGTGTGGGGTGGGTTTCTCAGGGGGGCAGGTTTGCCCTAATGGGGAACAGGTGGCAGCAGTCGTGTGACTAGCTGGGGCAGGGGCTCCAGGGAGTGGGACCCCATGCCCTGAGTCACCTTGTTGATGGTGGGTGTCAGGTCAGGCAGGGAAGCCATCTCTAGCCTCAGTGCAGCGAGCTGGGGGCCGCCGGCGCCTCCTCCTCCCGCCTGCAGCTCCAGCCTCTCCGCCTCTCTCCGGCTGTCCCTGAGCTGGCGCAGTGCGCGGGAGCTGTCGGAGACCTGCTGAGCAGCGCGGGAGGACCGCTCATAGGCCATGGTCAGCATCCGGAAGGCTCCTGTGGGGAGAGAGGAGGGGAAGTAGCTGCTCCTGGGCCTGGAGGCTTGGAGACGGAGGAGCAGGAGGGGAGCGGGACGTGGCATGCCGTGGCCCGGCAGCGCGGGGGGCTATCTGAGGAGCCCTCTCCTCACCAGAAGGGTCGGCACTGCTGAGTTTTTCAAACTGCTCCCTCTTGCTCTGATACGTGATGAGGAGGCGACTGAAGCTTCTGCCCAGACTCTCCAGGTCTCCCGGGAGGGACAGTGTCTCCTCCTCCAGGGGCAGATCCGGCTGCAGGCCCTGGAGAGTTCGCCTGAGATGGGAGAGGAGCTTTCACTGAAATATGGGAGGGGGCTTGGCCTCCCCAGAGCCAGCCATCGCCCTGGCACCACCGCTACTGAGTCAGGACAGGCAGAGGCCCTCGGCAAAGATGCTCCGCTGGGCAGAGGCTGGGAGCACCCGCACGCCTTCCTCCCTCCCCCTGCAGGTGGGTCCTCAGACCTCTCTTGAGCCCAGCGTTCCGGACTCTCCTCCCCCTCTCCCTGCCCCTGGCTCCCACGAGGACTGTCACCCTGACCCCTCCCCCTCCCTCTCCGCAGGCTGACTTCAGCCACCACCTGCAGGGCGTGGCTCCCACATCTCCCTTCCGCAGTCCACACCTCCCACTGCGCTCCAGACCCCAACACGCTGCCCACTGGTCACCCCGCCCAAGGGAGCTCAAGGTCCTGCCCCCAGGTCCACGGCCACTGAGCTCTCGAAGGTTCCTCTCTCCCCATGTCCTTTGCAGCTCCTCCAACCAACCACCAGCTCCCTCCTACAAGCCTCACTTTCTCTCCCTCCAGGATTTGCTCGGGCCTAGAACATCCTTCCATGGACCACCCCCTGTGCCTGCGTTTCCAGCCTAGGGGACGACTACGCAAATCTGAGACTTAGGGCAGATGGCACCTCCCTGTGAAGCCTGCCATGACCACCCCTCTATCAGTTTCAGCTCTCTTACAACATGCGTCACGTTGCAGTTCACAGTTTACACATCATTGTCCCCACGTGAGCCTCTCGAGGGCAAAGACTGCGTCATATTAACTTCGGTGTCCCCAGTACCTCCTGATGGACGGTTAACCAATATGCGGAGTGAATAAATGAATGAATGATTCCCCACATTTGCTCTAGCTCCTCTGCCAGAGCCCCCAAAAGAAGCTCCAGCACATCCATGAGTCACCAAGCCTCAGTTTTCATTCTTCTCCGGCTGCCTTTTCCCTGCCGCCATCCCACACCTGGAGGGCTCTCTGCGCACCATCAGAAAGCCAGCGCTTAGGGAATGCAGACTAATTATAGAAACTTTCAGAACCAAATCTCTCTAAGAAGGCGACTCTGCTGGTGGGCTGGGGGTGTGGGCAGGATCGCTTCCATTCCAAAGACAAATGTGAGTTATTTTTAGAGCCCCTGCCTCTCGGATGCCCTCCACAGGGGTGACTAATCCAGAGCTGCCTCTCCCACCGGCAGCGCCAGGCACTTGAAAGCAGGCAGGGCTTGGGCTCCCAGACTGCATCCCGAGCCCCAGCTCTGCCCCCAGGGGCCACATGGCTCCGTCACTTCACCTCTGTGCCTGTTTTCTTACCTGCAAGACAGAAGCAATACCCCCCCCACCACACCAGCCTCACAGGCCTGCAGAGATACAGTGAAGAGAGAGCACACAGGCCAGTGCCTTGAGCAGTGTAACGGGCTGTACAAGTGTAGAGGACCAGTGTGCCCCCCTTATGTGAACCCTTGTGGCATAATTCCTCTCAGTGCTCGGCAGGGAAGTGGAATCACCTGATGGAGGAGATGCCATTGGCCACCTGGGCCACCTCCTGCTCTGTGACCAAGGCGCTGCTGAGAATTGCTTGGATCTGCTCGATCTTGTTGTTTGTGTCCCGGATCCGGGAGGCCAGGCCACGGTCCTCTAGACCTGGCCCTGACCACAGGCTGGCGGTGGCGTTGCGGAGGCTGCCAAAGCGCCGGGCCTGCTCCCGGAGGTCTGCGTCGTAGGTGTGGAAGCAAGGGTGGCAGGCCACACACACCGGGTAGCGGTCGCAGTAGCCTCGCTGGCACTGGTCACAGCGGGGCCCGGTCAAGCCAGGGCGGCAGAGGCAGCGGCCAGAGGCCTTGTCGCAGCCTGGGCCCTCCGTTCCCCGGAAGTCACAGTCACAGGCTACAGTGAGAGAAATGACAGTCAGAGGCCAAGGACCAGGGAGACAAAGGCGTCTGGTGGGGAGATGAGGAGGAAACTGAGTCCAAAGAGGGGAAGTGACCCGCTCAAAGTCACTTGGCAAGGGAGAGGCAGAGCTCAGAGCAGAACCTGTCCAGCACGCTCCAAGTCCTGTGCTCTGTGGCTGCATCAGACTGACTGACTCCCTTTCCCCCTCCGGACTCGCTATCCCATCTACGAAGGGGAAGAAATGTCCTCCCTCCTTGCTGCTGCCCTGGAGACGGCTCCTGATAAACGCTCTTTCTCAGGGAAGTTGGGAGCAAAGCAACCCCACTGTTGTGGGGATGTGGGGACGGCCTGACCTTAGGCCTGCCCGAGGGGCTGGGAGGCCAAGCTGACCTGCCAGAGCATGGGCACTCATGGGGCTGCCCAGGCCCACACCACACGTGTCAACCCGGCTGTCCTGCCAAACCACAGACCGTGCATCCCCGCCGCCGCCCAGCCACGTGCTCTGCCCCCGGCAGCCCCGGCACTGCCCACACGTTGAACGCGCACCTCGGCATCCCGTGGCCACATCTCCATGGGTCCGGTCCGGACACTGGCGGCGGATGGCTGCAGCACTGCATGTCAGGCCACCAAACCCTTCGCGACAGGGGCACTGCCCTGTGAACTGGGAGGGAGAGACACCGTCAGGGGACTCTTGCAGGCTCTGCCTTGCCCTGGTGTCAGGGGCTGTGTCCTAGATCCCCGGCCTGCAGACAGAATCCAGGCTCACCGGCTGTCTGCAGAGCTGGTGTGACCCCAAAACAAGGGCTCCCCCTCAGAGACATTCCCTGAAGTCAAGGCCCAGAGTGGGCCCTTCAGAAGGCATAAGGCATTGCCAAAGGCTGAGAGCCACCGAGGGAGGGACATCTGGTGGCCTCCCCAAAGGGGAGTGGGAACAGGAGTAGTTCAGCCTGACGATGGAAAGGCCCAGAAAGGCAGCATGGAGGCCAGACAGAGATGCTGGTGTGCAGGATCCCTCCCCTGCTGGGGGCCCACGGGCCACCCCCACCCCGTACCTGGTTGCACTGGGGGCTGAGGGAGCCGTGCCGGTCGCAGGCGCACGGCTCGCAGCCCCGGCCGCTGGCCAGCTTCCAGTGGTAGGCAGCACACTGGTCACATTTGGGGCCCACCACGTTGGGCAGGCACAGGCAGCGCCCACTCTCCTCGTCACACGGCATGTCCCGCCGGGCCCCCAGGAGGCTGCAGTCACAGCCTGCAGGAGGGAGGGCTACTGAGCTCAGGCAAACACCCCACCAAAAACTCACCCCTAGAGGAGACACATCCAGGGAGGGGGCCCAGCCTGGGAAAAGAACTGGGCAGGGCCGTTCCCTGCAGATACCATGGCTGACTCCCACGGCCGCTGCGCTTTCCCACCGGTTCCAGCCACCTGGCGGCTTGGCCGCCCGCCTGCCCAGCCCGCCTCTGGCTGACTCAGTCCCGCCTTCCAACCCAGACCTGCGCTGCCACCTGCTGGAGGCCCGTGGCACAGCACCTGGCACTGGGGAAGGCAGCAAGTCAGACCTCCAGGCAAAGGCCTGGCACACTCCCACTGTCTTTTATGGGATGGGATCTTCTCTGAAGAGAGCACATGAGCAGGGCAAGTCTTGGGTCTGGTGGTCCCGCACGCCCTGCCCCACGCCGTGCTGGGCCAGGCCCCCTACTCACGGTGGCAGCCCTGCGGGTTGGCGTAGGTGAGTCCGGTGAAGCCCGGCTTGCACAGGTCGCAGCGCTCTCCCTGAACATGCTCCTTGCACACACACTTCCCGGTCGCTGGGTCGCAGGGAACCCCTGGCACTGCCCCATCCGGATCACACTCGCAAGCTGGGAGACAAAGGCAGCCACCGCAGCAGGAACGAAGAAAAGCAGAGTGTTCAGAGTAGACTCTAGCAGCCAGGTTGCCTGGCTTTCACCACTGGCTTTCAACCCTACAGCCTCGGTCACGTTACTAAACCCTTCTGTGCCTCAGTTTCCTCATATATAAAATGGGGATAATGATACATCCCTGGTAGGCTTCCTATGAGGAACATGTGAGTAAATATAAAACGAGTGGAACAGTACTTGGCTCAGGTTAAGTATTAGAGAATTGTTGTTGTTGTCATTATTTACTGAGCAACTACTGTGTGCCAAGCACTGAGCTGGGTGCTCTCCCATGTTGCCTTATGTAATCCTCACGATAACCCTGAAAGGTGCGGATCATTATCCCCATTGTACAGATGAGGAAACCGAGGCTCAAACATGCTAAAGAACTTGTTCCAATTCACATTCCAAGAAAATGCTGGAAACAGGGGTCAAATGCAATTCTGTTTCACTCTTTCCATAAATAAATTATAGCACCAGGAAGTGACCCAGCTTTTCCCCACCCCCACTCCCTGGCTTCTTTCACGCCTTTCAAAAAGAAAGACTCTTTCATCCAGAAAGTCTTTCCTGATTACAGCTGCCCAAATCAGATTGTTTCAGTCCAGTTTCCGCCCTCTATTTGAACTCAGTGGCCTTTGTGGGCACATTAAGCTGCCTCTGGGTGTTGCATTCTATTACGTTCATATGTTCATTCAACAAACATTCCCTGAGCATTACTGATTTGCCAGTCATGGTGCTAGGGCCAGAGGGTATAAGACATAATCCCTGCCACGGAAGAGTTCTTGGTGTTGGAAGAAATAGAAGAATAAATATCAAATTACATTACAACAGGGTAAATGCAATAGCATGTACATAGAGAAAGCGCTTTCATCCCTCATTTTCACATATGTATGGTTTATATGTGTGTGTTCCCTGAAGGCATGAAATTTATCTTATATTTACTTTTTTTTCTCTCCTATGCACAAAATAAGGTCTATGTACTGATTGACTGATTGATTGATGGTCCAGAGAGGTTAAGCGACTTGCTCAATAGTGCTCAGCTAAGTTAAAACAATCTCCCACAAGTCCTGACCCACGACTGAGTCTTCATGTTCTCCAAGTGCCTTTGTGTCCCCAGGCACATGTGCTCTGTTGTGCCCAGAGCAGACAGGGAGTAACAGATGGATGACACCCTGGGTCCCCGGGGCCTCTACTCACGGATACAGGTCTCCTGAATGGGAGCCCCCGGGCGCCGGTTCCGGAAATAGTGCAGCTGACACCGCTCACAGTTCCTGCCCTCGGTGTGGTCCCGGCAGTTGTCACATACGCCTCCATGTGCCCCCTGGCTGGCAGCAAACACAGCTGGGTCGAAGTGACATGTCTCCGAGTGCCCGTTGCAGTCACACCCTGGAAAAGGAGAGTGCCAGGCTGACATGTGACCAGCACCATGGTCATCTACAGTACATGCCATGACAGCTCGCTGGCACCTCCAACAACTCCGCAAGATGCTCAGGGAAGAGAAATGGGGAAACTGAGGCCAAGGGAGTCTTGCGTAATTTAATTAAGGTTGCATGACCAATAAGAAAGCAGCGTAGAATGAGAACTCAGGCTCCTGACTCCCAGTGTTGGGTTGAACCCAAGAACAGTGGCCACACTGGGCCAAAGAAAGAGCCACTTGAATGTTCTATCCCCAACCCTGCCCACTGCCACCACGGATCTCCTGTGGGTCACTGCCTCTCTCGGGGCTGAGGATCCCAGTTTCCCCTCATTTATGCAGACAAAGGCCCTGAGTCCAGGGGGCCATTCGAAGTAGGCAAAATGACAACAGGGAACCAGACATGTCCTAAACGGGGCATGTCCTAAACAGAAGAAGGAGGCGCTGGGGACACCGTGAAAGCCATGCGGAATCAGGAGCGTAGACCAGGCCTTGGTCCCTTCAGCCTGACTCAGGGGGAAGTGGGAGGATGCCACCCAAATACTCTCTCCAATCTCGCAGAGCAAGGAGAGCTTAAATTGCAGAGGTGCAATTTGGTTTGGATTTAAACAACAAAAACCAGATTCCCCCTGTGTCCCAAGTGAGGTCATTGAGGCCTAGAGGCGCCAGCACAAGACCCAGTCCCTACAGGGGAGGGGTGGCCCGAGCCTCATACTCTGGCATTCGTGGGGGTCCTGGCCCTCCGCTGGTCTCCAGGGACGGTTGTTGTAGAAGGGCGCACAGCGTTCACAGTTGGGGCCGGCAGTGTTGTGCTGGCAGACGCAGACATCGTGGACCTGGAAGGGGCCCATCAGTCATCAGGAGGAATTAACAAAGGAGGGTCCCGGGGATGGACCTGCCCGCTCCCCTCTCACCCTCCCACACACCACACAGGGCCTGGCTCAGACCCCAGCGCTCCCTGGACACTTTCCCGGAATGCTCCAGACTTCACCCAGCTCCTGTGACATGTCAGCACATGCATGTGTGTGCACACACGTGTGCCTACACCGCTCCTCTAGGGAGGTTTCACAAGCCCATTCCTTGCACTTGGACACTCCCACGATTCCCAGTCCACGGCAGCACCTGGAGAGTGCTCAGACGCCCATTGCTAACTGCGTGATTACGGAAGCTGTTAGGCCCTCTAGAGATTTATATTCCAACAATCTGTGACTACGGTTGTTTAGCTAATGAGACTGTTATGATGAATTGTTACGAGACTCATTAAGGCACAAAAATAGAATAGCTATTATGTGCTAATTGCCTTCCAAATTAAGCCCAACACCTTCAGCTTGGCATTCAGGGAGGACCTGTACCGAGTTCGCTCCATCCTCTCTCCCACTCCCCGCCAACAGCACAGCAGGCTGAACTCCCAGCTGCTGCCCCTACGAGCCCTACTTTCCCCATCTCTGGGGCTTTACTGATGTTTTTCCTTCCACCTGGAATTCCCCTCCCTCCATATTCACCAGCAAAATCCTGCCCCAGGCTGCAGCTACGCCGGCCGGCTCCCCCTGCATAAGGCCTCCCCGCCCCTCCAATCCGTAGATCTCAACGCGGGTTGCAACTCGGAATCACCTGGAAGCTTTTTTTAAAAAATACCTATGTCCAGGCCCAATTCAATTTGAACCTCAGGGACAAGGCCCAGGTAGGGGTACCTTTTAAAAGTGGTGATTCCACTGTGCAGGCAGACTTGAGGACCACCGGGGGGCTGGGTGGCTGTCTCCCTCCTCATCAGCTCATGGCGAGTTGTTTTCCTCGTATGTCCTCAGCCTTGGTTCTAGGGATTTGTCTTATGGGCCCCAATAGATGACACATTCCCTGAGCTGGCCTCCCTCTAACCTCCTCTGAAGCCTGGGGCAGGAGCTGGCCCAGCAGTGGAAAGAGCAAAGCTGACCGATGCTCACGTCACCTGTGCTTCCCTCCCAGGCCACTGTCCATGATTTCCTCCTGCTCTATCACCAGGACAACTGTCATGCCTCCTGTATGCTGACAGGGGAACGGATACCCCCGAAAAGGGAAATGACAAGACCCTCCATTTCTTTGCCCAAAGTTCTCTTTCCTCTGCTGGCGGTTTCCAAGTTTGGTCACATAGCAAAATCTCCCGAGAGGCTTGCTGACCCGGAACTCCTCAACGCCCGTCCCTGCCGAATCTGACTTTGCCGGTCTGGCGTAGACTCGGGGTTGGCGCTGACCGTTGTGCTCTCACCCTGCCCCATACCTCACCACTAGACGAGACTTTGGAATCCCAAACCAGTGGCTCTCAACCTTGGCAGTACATTAGAATCCCCTAAATAACAAAATCAGAATATCTTAGGTGAAGGTCTGTGTCTGGGCAGTTTTTTTAGCTCCCAATGAAATTACAATAAGTAGCAGGGTTGAGAAGCATTGCCGTAAGCTCCCCATCCTGTACTCAAACATACACTACTGAAAATCATGTCGAACTATAAAGCAGGTCTAAAGAAGTACTCTACAATTCTGATTCTTGAAATGAAAATCACCTAGATTCTTTTTTGTTGTTGCTGAAGTCCTTAAATACCCAAGTCTTAAATTTAGTGCCCTTCCTGCTTTATGGGCTCCTCAAAAATGTCCTTAGTCTGCCCTGGTCCTGCCCCCTCCCCTCTGCCCTTTCCACCCTGGGCTGTCACCTGCACAGCGGTGGAGGGGCCGGCCGGGGCTCCAGGCTTGGGGGCGCAGCGGTCAGCGTGGCCATGACAGAAACAGCTCCCCTGCAGACGCAGCTGGGACACAGCGTAGTAGGCGCTGGGGGGGTGGTAGCCCCTCTGGGGCAACGGGGCCAGCCTGGTGAAGTTCACTCTCAAGTTCGTGATCTCCCCCTGCTCTGAAAGGGGCAAACAGCAAGGATGGGTTGGGGAAGGAAAAATAAGGAACGGACGTTAGAGGCAGATAGAGTGTGCTAGGGTAGCATAGATAAAGAAAACCACCCTCCCTCTTCCTTGCCTTCATAACGTCATTGTACCAGGGGCCACCCTCTCCAGTCCTCCGACTTCCCAGTGTCCTGCACACAGCACCCGATGGGGTAAGCAGGGCAAGTATTAATATTAAATCCCCAACTATGCTGACAAAGATACAAAAGACAAGGAAACTTCCAAGACCTGAGTTCCACCCTTGTTTCATTTCCCACCCACAGCCCCATGGGGAAGAAGAGTGGCCACACCGACCTTGGACTTTTTGACTTTGGGTTGCTGGAATCCCAGATGCTAAATCCATAAGGTTAAGTTGGACCTACAGAGGGAGGGGAAAAAGGGAAGAGCTGAAGAAGAGATTAACAGCGGGTCCCAAGCTCAAAGGAAACCTTCCTTTCCATTCAATGCCTTGCCCTCCTCATACTCTGGGGTCCTTCTTACCTGGAGCCTGAAACAGACCACAGCTGCTCTAGGGGAGCACGATGACCACTGGGCCCCAAATGAGTGTGTGTGTGTGTGTGTGTGTGTGTGTGTGTGTGTGTGCACGCACAATGTCTCCTCTCCAGTTAAAAACATAGGTATCCCAAGAATTTCCTGATTTCCCTGGGTCAAAAATTATAGTAAGACATATAATCCACACATGAGGGTTTAGGAGATACTAATTTTCCAGCGATCCAGGAAGAATGAGAGGGCCCAGAGCCCAGGGATGCCTGGCTGTGGTGACCACAGCACTCTGCACAACCTCCATGTCAGCTATGTTTTTTATGAATAATAAATCACTCATTAGATGTGACTTCATCCGCACACCCCGGGGAGAGTTTTAAGACTCCTGTGGGGTCTTGAGAACACGGTTAACATAATTTGAATAAGGGTATAGCCAAGAAGACCTGGAGCTCTGGGTTACACCAGAATTCCCTCCAAGGGCTAGGACTAGGCTAGATGGAGGGATTAAACTAAAAAAGTTCATATTTGTGTTAAATCCTACCAAGGTGAAATTAAATTTTTACAATTTGCTCACTTGCATCTACCTAGCCCCCCCAAAGCCCTCACCCTGGAATAACACTGATTTTACCCTCTCTGCTACAGCGATGTGCCAATAAGTCACATGGAGGAGGCTACGGAAAAGGGCAGGTTGGTAGGGTGACATGGTGGCCCCTAGATGTTTCTGAAATATCCTTCCTGGGCAGCAAAGGTGAGCTGACAGGGTGTTCTCATCTCTTCTCAAGAGTCCGCGTGACCGTGAGAACAACAGGACATCGGGGACGCCCCACCACCACCACCCGGAGCCTGCTTGTTCAAGGTTCCCTCTACCTACCTTTCCCCCATTTAGATGCCCATTCGGCCTCTGGGGCAGGGACTGGCACCGAACATCCTGCCAGTTCTGAGGCTGGCCCTGGCGGACCCGGGGGAAGGTGGAGGCACAGTCGGGAGCCAGGTACTGGTACACCCGCCAGGTCTTGCCAAAGTCCGAGGAGCGCTCGATCAGCATGCCAGCGGGCATGGGCCCCTGCAGAGACACAGGCAGGGTGGGGAGGGGAGGCGTGGTGCAGTGCCCCATGGGGACACGATCACAGAAACAGGCCCCTCCAGTGAGGGAGGGAGAAAGAGGGCCCAGCGAAAGCAGGTGAGCTCAGGAGCATCACGGTCCAATCCTCCTGGGAAACCACAGGCCACAGAAGTTTCTCTCCAGGGGAATCACAGAAAGTAATAGAAACTAGATCTGCATTCCAAAAGGCATGATGCCTAGCTCAGCACACCACCAGGGCTTCCAGGCCAGAAAAATCTCCCGCCCTTACACGTTCCCCAGCCAACCATTTTTATTCTCGCTCTGGGTTCTGTCCCTTCTCTCTCTCTCTCTCATTGCCACTGCCACGGTTCAGGCCAAGATCATGCTGAGGCTGACTTGACAGCCACAGCCTGGAATTCATGTCCAGCCCTTGTCTTGGCCCCCAAACCACTCTCCCCACTTCACCAGAGAGATCTTCCCAGATGGTTGCCAGATCCATGAGACCCTTCAACAGATCTTCATTAGTCTAAAGATAAAACACGTGCTCCTTAGCATGACATATTGCGTTCCTGCTCCTTCTCTGGGTAATTGCATCATTTCTGGTGGCTTTAAATGCAGTCTTTGTGCTGACGGCTCCCTACTTGGACCACTTCCCGGAACTGCGGGTTCATAAACTCAACCTCCACAATGGATCCCGAATCAGGCCCAGGCCTGTCTCTCTAGCTTCAGGCCCCCCTCTTCCCTGACCTCCCTAGTAGGTGCCACCCGATGTCCTCACATTCACCAGTCACACCTTTCACCGTACAGGGACAGCTTTCTTTTAAAATGGGCCACGTCCTCCTCCGCTTAAAGTCCTCCAACCCGTTATTCTCGCATAAAATCTGAACGTCTGACTGTGAGCGAGGAGGCCCTGTGCTCCCCGGGCCTGCCTGCATCCTCCCTCCATCTCAGCCCACCTCCACCTCTTCGAGCCCTGAACCTGGCCGCCCAGAGCATTCCCCACTCAGAGCCTGCGTACCCGGCGCTCCTCCTGCCAGGAGCTCCCCTGCCACTGGTGGGCTCCTTCTCACTCTGTTCTCAGCTTAAATGTCGCTTCCTCGGGGAGATCGTTTTACACCTGCCTGACCCTGACATGCATGCTGCTCATGCCCCACCACCCCACCCCACCCCATTATTTCCTACCCCAGCATCTTGTTCGTTTCCTTCAGAAATGTCACCACAATTTCCGATTATGTATGTGTTGTTTTCCTGCTTTTTATTCTTCTCCAACTAGACCGGGATTTCTCAACCTTGGCATTGTCAATATTTTGAGGTGGATGAATCTTAGTGGTAGGGGCTGTCCTGTGCATTGTAGGATGGTTAGCAGCATCCCTGGCCTCCACCCATCAGATGTCATTGCATACCCATAGTTGTGACAACCAAGAGTGTCTCCAGACATTCTTGGGGGAGAGGAGAGGGCAAAAATCACCCCTGCTTGAGAATCAGTACATGAGACCGTGGGTCCCATTGTCTGTCTTGCTCACAGTTGTGCCTCCGGCATCCAGCACATAGGTGCTTAGTATACATTTGTTGAATGAATGGCAAATCTTTAGTCTGCTCCCCTTCACCCACCCATTTATATCTGTAAACTCATCTCTCAGCGATCTGTAGCCCTCCACATCCCCACCTCTCCCCACTATGAACACGTTTTCCCTCCAGACCCTGTGTGCATTTCCTTGCCCCCTCCCCAATCATATACCTTCTTGCCTCTTGCCTCCTAGCCTTTGCACTCACTGTTCTCTTTGCCTGGAAGGAAGTTTGCCCTCCACCTGGCTGTTACTGGTCCATGAAGTTTCATCTGCCCCAGGGCGCATCCTCTGACAACCCCTCCCGAGACCGACCAAGCGAGATGCCCCTCCCATGCTTCTTACCAATATCAGAGCAACTTCACACTCTCTCACTGCTGGCTCTCTGTCTGTCTTCCCTACATATGGTCAAAACAGCTCGAGGATTGTGATTTAGTTTCACGCATCTTTCTACCCCTGACACCAAACCTAACGCATAACCAGTGTTCAAAATGTGTGTAGCAAGAACCGACTAAACGAATGAGTGAGTGATACTAAAGCAATGAGACTATTCAACAGGATCCATTCAAATGAATGTCGCCCTTCAAAGCTGTCACCTTCAGAGAAGACTGGGCATTTGTTCAAAGGATACTGGCATTTCTCAAAATACTTTTGACCTTTACTTGGGGCAAAGCTCTTGAAGCCAAATTCTCCAGTCATGTAAGAATGTAGGTCCTATTTTTATACCAAGCTCATTTTAACTCCTGAAAATTATAGCACCCTTTCTGGTCATCTAATCTTACTAACCAAGCTTGATTGTTGAATATTTGACTATTTCTGTAGAAAGAATAAAATCAAATCTTCTCTGAAAAGTAAACACCGACTTGTCACAAATGAATAAAAATGTTTCCTCCCAGAGGAGTACCCAGAACACCAGTCTAAGAGCATAATCCGAAAGTACTTTGAGAGGCGACAGCACTGAGTGAGTGGTTGCCCACCACGACCGCTGCCCCAGAGGTGCATCTTTCATGTGCATAGCTGAGTTCTTGGCTGTTTGTTAAACTCAATCTCATCTGCAAAGTTATTAAAACAAGGTATACCAAGAATACACAACTATATAGTAAGCAAGCGGGCCCATAGAATTGGTACTTGGCAGAGCTGGATTAATTGGATGGATTGAGAGTGGGGGGTACAGAGAAAAAGAGGATATACAACCACTGCCTGACCAAGACAGGGAACTTGGTGGTGCCACTGTCCTCCCGGGAGCAAATCCTCTGCTGTCACTACGATACAGGTTCAGGGTGAGCGTTGCCCCAGCCTGGGGAAGGGGAGCTCACCCAGTATGTGGTGCCATCACCCCCATACTGGAAAGACAAGAACACTGCTCCTCCACAGGTCCGAGCCCACATGGCCCAGGGTCCCCCCTCCTATCTAATGCCATCCCCAGGAAGCACACCTTAAACTCCATCATGATGTCCTGAAGCTGGAATCTGCTGTCCAGGTCCAGCTGCAGAGAGACAGGGTTCACATCTGGAAGGAGAAAAAGTAGACACTTTTGGCCAGAGACTTTCCACTTTCCTAGTCCTGGAGAAGGCCCTGGACTAGACTAGCTCTAGGAAAGTCAGAAATTCTCTAACCTTGATTTTCCAGTTTCCTTCTTGGACAGGAGTGGTACCAGTATGTTTCTGCTTATATTATCTATCCAAAGTCCTATCTGTTCCTGGCCAAATTTCCTTTGGCCTATATTCTAGACACCATCACCTGATGTCTCCAATATCTTAGAGGGTTTCAACTTGTCAATTCGATACAGACCTGTTCCCGAAGCTCAGCTCCTTCCACAAGCTCACCCACTGAGACTAAGTGGAGCGAAATAAAGACATTCCTCTCTCCTCATACCCTTTCCTCAACCTCCAATAAACTCTTCTACCTACAATATCCAACAGACCCCAAATATAAGGCAGGAAGGTTCTGCTCATCAATCACCCACCTCCCAACACCACAGAAATGCTGGGAAACACAAAGGGTCCCCGGGCATCCTCCATCCACCCCCATCCTGTGGAGCCTCCAAAGTCTGGGTCCCTGTAGGTGACAGGCGCTCACCGTTCTGTGACTGCCACCAGCGCATGGGGCCTGAGGATGAAGCCACGTTCTCCACTCGGTGACTGTTGTAATTGTGAGGCAGCCTGGAGTCGCACTTGCAGCATTTCATCTGCCACTGTGGGAGAGGGAGACAGCAGAGACTCAGAGGTGGGGCCCTGGCAGAATTCCCCCTAATATCCTGAGACCCCAGCACGTCCCCTCCATGGAAATCCCATCCTAAGGGATCCATCAATTTCACTAATACACTTGGAAGGATTAATCTCTTAAAATAGGGGTGTTGGTCATCTTTTGATTTAATTCCTTTGTGTCCCTCCTAACAAAGAGGTTAGGGGTTGGGGAAGAGGTATAATGTGGTGTAAAAAATAATTTTGGTACATGACATTGCCTTGAAAAGAAGCTTGAGAAAAGTGCCAAAGGCAAAAAGAAGAAAGGAAGAGAAATTCCTATTAACTTAACACCTACTATGTGCTGGACACGGGCTAGAAAATGTTATATCTTATATCCTTTAATCCTAGTGGCCTGGAGAATACTGAGTTTTTGAGAATCAGGGAGAGGAGACTCCTACAAAGGACAAGGAAATTTGGGGTTCCAGTCCTAGCTCTGTCACCTCACTTCCTAGGCTCAGTTTTCTCCTTTTTAAATTGAGTGGGGGGTTGGACTAGAGTCTTTCATCCACCTAACAAATATTTATGGAGCGTGTACTGTGTGCCAGACACTGCTCTGGGCTCTCGAGTTATAACAGTGAACAAAACAAAGACCCTGTCCTCAGAGAGCCGACATTCCAGTGACATTTAGATGATCTCGAAGGCCTCCAGCACTGACATCTGGGGCTGGAGGATAGTTCCCAGGTTTGGTATCCAGCCTCACTCGGGAGGTCCCAATAAACCACAACTCCCCTGGCCTACACCCATGCCTTGGAATGAGACAAGAGCCAGAACTGGACACCATGGGCTCCATGGCAGGGCAGAGGTCACCAAGAAGAAGAATAAGGCCAGAGAGGTCACATGTCCTTTGTTCTTTCAGTTTGTGCCTAGGGGCACATGCACATGTGTGTGTGTGCACACACCACAGGTACAACATGACCTTGTCCCAGCTCCCTCATACAGAACACACAAAATCTGTTTTCTCTGAGTAACCATGATCCTAAACCCTGTGCCTAGCTTAAAGAACACTGTCTAGAGGGTTCCAAATTCACTCACAAGTAGAAGCAAGGCTTGGATAAGAACCTTGTCGACCTGCTGGTCCTTCTGAGTAGGGACGATTGTACCTCCGCATACCCCGTGCTTCTGCTTTCCCCTAAGCTTCCACTCGCCAGAACAAAGAAAAGCCCTGGTGGCCGTCTCTGCAGACTTCCAGCTCCTGAGACTCTGTCCTGTCCAGGAAAGGGATACACTAATGGGCCCATGTCTCAGACGGTGGTGTCTGCTGAACAGCACGGTTTAACCCGACAGCTCAGTCCCGGAGACTGCGTCAACACGCCAGGCCTACGCTTCGAGGTGCAGACCTGCTACCCAGCACCCACCCTCCCTCTCCATGGCTGGCACAGCTCGGCACCCAGAAGGGGAGGCGGGGTCCTGGCTCCCTGGGCCTTTGCTTCCCACCCCACTTTCCAGCTCTCACCTCCAATCCACAAAATAAGAGAATTGTCACCCTTCCTGGTGCTCGGAGGTACACTCGTCATGTCCAAAGATGCTTTATTAAGCTCTAATTCTTTGGGTGCTTAAGGCTGAGATAAGGCCGGCACATGTGCTCTACATAGAACAGCACCCACTGCCCCTCCCCCGTCACTGTCCCTGTGCATTCCCTCGCCCTGCTACATCTGTGTTCACAGTGCAAATCTCCACTCGACACACTACACTTACTGTCTGTTTATTTACATGTTTCCTGTCTGCCTCTTCCTTCTAGACTGTTGAGCCCATGAGGGCAGGAACTCGCTTTCCTTCACTTCTGGAGTCCAGTGCTTAGGAAAGTGCCTGGCACACAGTAGGCCCTCACTGAATATTCATTGAATGAACAAATAGTAAATGCTCAATAAATGCCAACTGTTCCATTAACATAATTGCTAAGCACTCTCTTCCTGCACTCGGAGAGTTTAAAAGGAAGGGTGCGGGAGTGAGGAGGTAATAAAACATCAGTATCAACTGATGGCATGCTAACCATGCGCCAGGTACTGTATTAGGTCGTTTCAATACAATAACTGATTTAAATCTCACAATAACCGGATGTGATCAGCAGGATTAGCCCCATTTTACAGATTAGAAAGCTGAGGCTCAAGGAGGTGACATGACTTTCCTATTGACTGATCACAACTGTCAGCATCAGAGAGGATCCCTTAGCACCTCTCTCTCTCCTCTCTCTCTCTCTCTTTCTTAAACCCACCTCATCCTCTCATTTCCATTAGGAAGCCAGCCCAGTGACAGAGATCGTGGGAAGCATGGTGAAGGGTGACAACCTCTGTCACACCCAATGGGCCCCAAGAAGGGCTTGGTCTGGCCCTGAAGCTTATCAAGAGGGAAGCTGAGGGCAGAGAGAGCACCCTGGGAAGAAACTTGGCTTCTCCAGCTGACCCGGCTCAGTGACCACAGAGACTGAGGACCTGTCACTGGCCGAAATACCTGAGCACTTAAAATAATCCTTTCTGGGCAAGAGAAGGCTCTTGCTGGAGCCTGACTCCCCTTCAGAACCCTATTTGGGGGCCTGGCCGTGACCATGCCCTTCCCTGCACTCTGCCCAGCTTTACAGGGCCAAACTTTTCCACTCTCGCCCTCTGTCTGCCCTCAGCGCATGTCCTGAGGAGAGACAAGGGCCAGCTGCCTTCCGGCCGCCTGTCACCAGAGCCCTCCCCAACTCTCCTGGGAGCTGGTCCCAGCCCTTCCCTGGTCAAGGGAGTGCCAGAAACAAGGCTCTTTCATTTCCCTGGGTCATGGGACAGGAGCTAGAGACTGCGGAAATGCCCTTGATCCTGCCAAATGACGGAATATTATGTAACTATTAAAAACATTGTTTAGAGAAAATTCTTAATTGCACGGGGGGAGGATTACATTATAATGTGTGATGAAAAAAGGGTGAGCATAAATATGTATATGTATTATAATCTCAGCTATATATCATTAAAGGAATAGAAAATGTTTGGAAGGAAATACACCAATAGGTTAGATGAAATGATATGAAATTGCTAATATTCACTCATTTTGACCTACAAAAATGGCACCTACATGCAGTTCAACCTAGTATCTCTGGATAATAGGATTATAGGTGATTTTTTCCCCTTTGTTATTTTTTAATATGTTTAAGCTTTTATACCTTGAATACATATTAACTTTTATACTCAGGAAAATAGACAGTAGCATAAAACAAAACCAACTGCAAATGTTCAGGGTATTCAGCAAGGGCTGTTCCCCTGCCTCCTCCTTCAGTCTTCACAGGGGCCATCTGGGTGCTCCATGCCTCCTCCACCTTCCTGCCACGTGTGCAGGCCGTGATGCAGGATCAGATGTCCTCACGGGCTTAAACACTACGTGCTGCTTATCATAGTAACATAGCTGAAGGAAGGATTTATCTCAAGCCTCAGAGACAGGCTAAGCCAACAGGCTTGAGACAGGTATTTTAAGTAGCTCTGCTTGTCAACTGGCTAGCAGGATGGAGGCCTGAAATAGAGCAGCTTGTGGCAGAGGTCCACATGAATACAAGCTGTTAATACCTTTTTTCCCTCTGGGCCTCAGTTTCCCTATTTTATTCTCATATGCCTCTATGTGGTGTGTGCATACACGTTAGTGTGTGTAAGTATGCGTGTGCATGTGCGTGATTCTCAATGCGTGGAGCTCTCTCTCATGTGGTACGTGCCCGTCTCTCCCAGAGATGGAAGCTCTCAGCTGCAGCTGCTTCCCCGTCCCGGGTCGTTTGGCCAGCATCCTCCTGGCTGCGTTACCTCAGAGATACGGCGTTATTAGCAATCCGGCCTGTCAGGCCTCCAGCCAGTTTGGCTCCTGCTTGCTCTCCAGCTGGGAAGCCTGGGCCTTCTCCCTTATCCTAGAGTTTTCTAGAAGCTCAGCAGTCTGGCGGGAAGACAGACCCTCCCAGAGAGCTAAGGGAGGGCAAAGGACTGAGCAAGAGCCAGCAGGGGCCTGAGTCTCAGTGGAGATGGGTGGGGAAGGAAGGCACAAGCGAATAAAAGTTCTGTGTCTTTGTAGAGCACAGAGCTAATTCTGGGGGAAAAAATAGGACAACAGGCTATGGTTAGGCAGGGCACAGCTCCCTCCCATGAGTGAGCCAGGGCTGCCCGTGTTCATCTAAGTAGCTACACTCAAACCGTGGCCGCCAGCCAGGGCCAAAAGAAAGGAAGTCAGGACCAAAAAAAAAAAAAAAGGAGAAACATCCAGCTCAGATATTCCCTCCACTTCAGCTTCCTCATTGGTGAAATGCAGGCATTGGATGAGATAATGAAGTTCCATCTTGCTCCAATACGCTTTCAGAATTCTCCCCTGCTCCAGCTTATCAGCCCAGAAATGAAAGGCGCTCCCAGCAAGTACACAAAGAAAGCAAGAGGAAAATAAGACATTAGCCAGATGCCGCACTGGAGAAACACTCTTCCCAGCAATAAGGGCAGGGGAAAGGGGGCCTTCAAGGCCTTTGGTCAGCAAGGCCTCCCTTAGACCCCACTGCAGTTCGAAAGCCTCAGCCTTTCTATGTCAGCAGGTATTGCCAGTAGAGATCAAAAGTTAGGGCCTCCCGCAGGTGCTGGGTGAGAGGATGACAGTGCTGCGAGACACTTGGAACTTCATCTTTTCCCTTATTATGAAGTGAACTTTTGACCAAAGCCTTAATTCAGCACAGCCCTTATCTCCATCTAAACTAAATTCAGAAAGGTCACTTTCTGAAACCGATCATAGAGATGATGTATACCACACACTCGAAAATGACACTGCATCAGTCTCTCTCCTGGGCGGTGTGCATATATTATCTTATTTCACCCTTCCTAAATCTCTGAGGAAGAGATATTACATTTTACAAATGGTGGGTAGCCCCACTTTGCAGATTAGGAAAGTAGGAAGTTAAGAAATGTGTCCAAGACCATAAGCTTAGGAAGAGAGGAAGCAGGGATTCTTGTCCCAGTCT